CATAAATTTAAGGCCAATAAAACTCCGGAAGAGGATGGTCTATGAGCTGAAGTCTTCAAATGTTGTCCATCGTTCTTCATAATGCACCTTCAACAAATGTACTTTCTAGCATGGAAAGAAGAAATATTACCAGATGATTAGAGCAAAGCAATTCTGCTTGCAATTCTCAAGAAAGGTGATAGGACATACTCCGACAATTATCGAGGAATCAGCCTACTAGACGTCTCAGTGAAAATTTTTGCTTCCCTTTTATTCAACAGACTTATGGAAGACAGTAGGATGCGCCTTAATCAAGCTGGATTCAGACCGCGGCGTGGTTGTGCTGATCAGACATTTACCTTAAGAAGGGTGCTTCAGATATTTATAACCCATTGTCACGTGTTTCATCGAGTTTGCGGTTGCCTTTGATTCAATTGACAGAAAGGCGCTCTGGATGGTGATGGAATGTGACAGTGTTCCAGAGAAGATCATTCGATTTATAAAGGCATTTTATGAGCATACGTCGGCGCAGGTCTGTATAGATGAGGAACTGACAGATTCCTTTGAAATAAGAGCTAGTGTTCCTCAGAACCACGTCCTTTCTCCTAAAATGTTAACCATGCGATAGGAGGATAATGGGCATTACTTGTCGGCACTCAAGAGGTGTCCAAATCAGTTCAGAACACCGTATTATAGATCTTGAATACGCTGATGATATGGTCTTTTTTGCTGACAATTATGACGAAATAATGCTAAATAACATGTTAACAACTGCAGCTAGAATCGGATTCACGATTAATGTAGATAAAACAAAATCTTATGTGCAAGAAGCTGATAAAATGCCTCTTTCCCTCTTTTTATAAATTCATTGCCAGTTGAATGAATGACCGATTTTAAAATGACTTTGAACCCACTCTATTACCAAATGGGCAGGCAAAAGACGATATTATAACCCAGATCACGGCAGCTAGAAATGCGTTCTTCTGGTTGACAAAACCTTTATGAGCCATCCTGAAATTACCATTAAAAATCCGCATCTTATATAGCCGTGATTCGTTCGATCTTAATGTCACAAAGTGTCGCCTTCGCTGGTTAAATAGTTCCGTCATCAACCGTAGGGATTAACTCATATTTCGCTATTTTCCGAACCCTGTGATGGATGGCATCAAAAGCGAGGTGGACCAATCAAGACCTGGATATGGTCAAAAAAGATTTTGAACGTATGGAGGGATCAGCGATATGGAAAAGAGAACGACTTCTATTACTACTAGCGATGGCGTCAGACCGATCAGCTTGGAGAATCTTACTTTTGCGGAGCTAGCCTAACTAGTAATGATGAGAGTTGTTAGATGAAGAAGAAATTCAAATCAGATCTAGAGAGAAATTAACTGCGAAATAAAATATGGATGATTTTTGTGGATGAATTTTGAAAAAAATTTAAGGGTCGCAAATTTCAGTTTCCATTGACAACATAAAAGAAATTCGCATTGGAAGAACCACTGATCTTTTTCATTCATCTGAGAATTCTGCAGCAGAAATTCAGGTTCAGTTCAATGATTAAATAAATTTTCATAAGCCTTTCACTTCATTAAATTTATATACATATATGAAATTGTTATTGCTTGATGTTTCAGGAGGAATGTGCTTTTTCGATAATTCATGGTGATAACTATGAGAGTTTAGATTTAATTGCCCATTCTCCTGAAGATTCAAATATATGGGTAACGGGCCTTATGAATTTGATAAATAAAAGTATGCACTTTTCTTTTGATTATGAAAACTTATTAGTTTTGACATTTTTATTTTCATTTCCTTTATATTAGTGGTATCTTTTCTTAGTAGTGTTAGGGACGAGGTGTATGTATTTTTTTTTTCAAACGATCATCTGTTAAAATTTTTCACCCTAATGAGCCAAATTAAAAACTGGTGAGTGCTATATAAAAAAATATAAAAAAATATTAGCATTGCCAGTATTTAAATATTAGCAACAAATGAAGTACCAATTAGAATTCAAACTTCTTTCAACATTATTACAAAAGACTATAGGGATTTAAGAGCATATTCTGATAAAGTGAACAACCAGTATTCAACCTTTTAATTTTTCTATTTCTATCTTTTTTCCCATTGTTTTCTTTGTATTCTCCCTTTTAACTGCGTTTTTCATCAGAGATTTGCTTTAGCGTATAACCTTCCCTCATCTATATTTCCCTTCCCTTTTGCATTTATTCTTTACCAATAATTTAGTACAGCTACTAAATACTAATAAAATAAAATAAAAAAGAGTGTTGAAAATAATAAAAATCTCATAATTCGGACTGGTAAGCATTGCTGCCAAATAATGAAATTTATCTTATTTCTGACAAATTCGCCTCTAAATATTTAAATAAAAAGGTGAATGAAATGAGCAATAAGCAACAGAGCAAAGCAATAAGCTGATATTTGTCATTTTTCTTGTAATTTTCTTTAACTTTAAAGAGAGTAAATATTGAAAATAATCCATTCTTACTTCTATCTCCAAGTTACTCCCTGGAAAAGGCCATTCAAATCTGAAATAATGCATGCATGTTAAAATAGAAGAAATAAAAGTTAGATAAATGGTAATTGCCAAATGTTTATGGTCAATCTATTTAGCGGTGATTACAAATAAAAATTGATTGTAGATAATTGCGCTACATCTGCAGCAATGCCACTTGCAACTCTGCGAGAAAGGTTTTTTTCTTGTGATCAAATTTTATGAAATTTTCTTCCTTTAAAATAATTCTAATGCTTGGTTGTTTTCAAAAATTTTCAAAACATAAAATTTCAATAATTTATAGATGGATTGGCTCAGTTTTTGATGAAGAAGATTCGGATAAAAAAGGATTTATAAGTGAAAATTTAGCGATACGTTTAATAATGCAAATGAATAATCGCTTGTTGATTGGTAGGATCAAACATAAAATAATGGTATATCACCTTATTTCAAATTAAATTAAAGAGATTTTGAATAAATCGTTTTCAAAAGCTGATCGGGCGATAGTGCAATATGGTCGTTAATAAATCTGACCGTTTTTTGATCAAATTGCAATTGTTTTAATCAAATAAATATAACGAAATAAATGATTTTCAAATCATGTATAAAAAATAATTGTATCTTAGGAGGCAAGCGTTTTGCACCGTGGTGAAGCAGAAAAGGGAAAAATAACGCGTGAGCAATTCATTGAAGTATATAAGGTATGATCAATTTTGATCAGATCCTATCTTATCATATAATTGGATCATTTGATCGCGAAATTGATAAAACATTCTCTAATCTGACTAATAAGTTGCAATTTTTTCTTTTTAAGGATGTTGCCACAAGACCAGAAGTTTACTTTCTAATGGTGCGGTATGCAAATAAGGATTATCTCACTTGGAGAGATTTACAAGTTTTTCTCGAAACTGAACAAGGAGTAATGATTTGTTATTACTTAAAAAAAGTATACGTTATTGGCTGTTTTTAGAGCCAAATGCATAGCTACTGGACATCATTAACTGTCTTTTAGTTTGTACTTATTTGTCAATTTTATATGTGTCACACAAATTTCGATCAGTTCTTTCAGTAGAAGTAACCATTTTCTAATGGTTCAATAATCAAAGCAATATCATTTCAAAAATAACCATTTTTTTAGATGATGGGTGTCACTGAAGATCTCTGCGAAACGATTATTGAACAACATGAACCATCAGATGAAGCTAAAGCGAATAATTTTATGACCGTTGATGGTTGGTCTTGCAATTTTTTAAGATTTATATTGTCCGTCTAACTTTGGATAAATCTGTTCTATAGGAATATACCAAAAATCTCTGCGACTCTCAAAAATTTCATTTTTTTGAATTTTTTCTGAAATTTTGGATTTCCTGAAATTTTCTGGTGATAATAAATTAAGGACGACGGAGTCTCACTCAGACTTTGAGCATACCACTTTGAGCATAAGAGTTGGAGGTCTTGCCTGCGACAGAATTAAATCTGCTGTTGAAAAATTTGAGTGGCACTGGAGATCCACCAACACTTCTATCGACAAATGACTACTTATGCAAAATTTCACATCGCATTAATAATTGATGGAATGAGTTTAACCAAAAATGGTGGACGTCTCCTGCTTTTACTTGATATTTTTATTTTCTTGTTAATTGCACTTTTTTTGTAAAGAAGTCAGCCAAATTTATTTGAACCAACCTGGATTAACCAGATCAATTTGCATTTTTGATCATAATTCCCTTTGCCAAAAATATAGCTAGAGAGTTTTCAGGGTTCACAAATTATTTACTAGATGAAGAATGTCAGCTATTTGATAGAAATCATCGAATTATCTGCCACGAAATGAACCATCCATTTTCAAGTTATTTTATTGCAACATCTTACAAGACATATTTAGTAGAGGACCAAATAAAAGGACCAGCTAGTGCTGAAGGAATTACCACAGCACTTAAAAGGAATTGCAGATTCATTGAATGTAAGTTTTCATCAAACTTTAACAATTTTAATTTTCTTTTCCAAATTTAACCAAAAAAGAAAAAAATGAATGTTGCTTAAAATCAAATTATTGAAGATGAACAAAAAATTGTTCTAATGCGAGTTGAGAATTGAATTTTAGATAATAAGCAAAAATATTTTAGATGTATATTCATCATACAAATATAAATAAACATGTGGATATAGAAAAAAACCTAAAGGAAATTCTGAAAATTTTTAGTAGACTTGTGGGATCCAATACAAAGTGACAACGAAAATGAGCCAATGATTTGTCGGCTTAAAGCGGCCCATTCGAAATTGACGGCATCAGCTGCATTTCACATTATAAATGAAGTCGCTTTTGAGCGTTCCAGGTAACCATGAATAAAATCCCTGTGGAAAGGTTATTTGTAGCGATCTGAAAAAAATATGAGGAATTTGATCAATCTTATTTAAATTTTATCAAATCTTTTATCAAAATCTTTTCTTAAATTTTTTCTTCAAAATTTTTAATCGAAATTCCAAATAAGATTCATGAAATATATTTTTGGATATCCTTTATTTATTCGACTGGTAATCCATCTAAGCGTTCAATGGCAACTAAATCTCGTTCAATTATTGCAAACAATTTTTGGCAATAAACTATATCAACCAACGTTAGATCGGATTGATTGGATCAATAATAAACGACTTCCAAGTCCAAGGGATTTTTTGACGAAAATCATTATTGTGGTAGTTATCATTTCGTTAACCTACTTGTCTATTTGTCTGATACCTATTAATTATTAATTCAATGGCCTTTCCTTTCTTTTATCTGACTATTTACCTGCATTTTATCCATAAACGATCGAAAATTGTCGAAGAGCTGAAACTATACTTACTATACTTTTTCAATTACTGTATTCGACTATGTTTGTTTATTATTATAATAACCTTCCTTTTATCCTTTTAATAGCAGCAAATAAAGAGCCATTTGGGTGTAGGATATACAGGTGTCTTCAGAATTTTATTTTTAATGACGAGGTTTATTCCTATTCAGTGAAAAGGACTAATGTTATGAAGTTTGGCTAACACAATTTACCAAACGGCCTCTGTTCCTGTAATAATAATCAATTTTCGAAAGTCTTCGAAAGAACAATCTTTTGAAAGATAAAGCAATACTTCTCCACTGATTCCACGCTTCAGGGCAAGAAGATAGAGTCAACCGATGAAAGCGAGGTGAGTGAAGATGAAACAAAAATAACATTGTCAGAGTGTCACGATAGCGGAAGGATAGCTATTTGTAGAAAATTATCGGATCTTTTTTGTCCATGGGCAATATTCACGAATGTCTCAGATTTATCACAGGCCTCAGATAAAATTGGTAAGTTTTTCTTTTTTCATAAAGTTAAGATTTCCAAACAACAATATAGATTATTCTTTGAGCAAAATATGAATATTACCTTTTATCTGAAACCTTACTTAAATTTCATCCATGTTTGAGTCTCATAGCAAAAGTTAATTAATAGATTTTGTCGATTATTACAACAAGACATTTTAGCTAAAGAATTAATTGGGAATGGAATCATGGTGGATCCTCACTGCCATCTAGATTTTTTAATAAATTTATTCTTGGCAAGAATAAGAGCCGGACCATATTACTTTATGCGCATTAAACGCCACCACATTATTCCGAATTTTACGCAGTTAAAAATTAATTTAAAGAATAGTAAAAAATAAATTAGGAAACTAATGATTGTATAATCAAAAAGTTAGGAGAGTGACCAATGACCAGTTAATGGCTAATCAAATTTTGAAATTTAAAATTTTTAGCCTCAAAATCTAACAGCATATTATCCATTAATGAAGACAACTGTCTTTCAATGTTCAATAACAATGCTACCCAATTTGCTCGTATTTCCCGTGAATATTTAGTCAGTGTTCGACCAAATACAGTCAGGTAACCATTATTTTTTAACTTAGAACGGAACGATAATGATTGATCTTAATTTGAAATTTAATTTAAAAAGTCTCTAAAATCTCCAGCGTTTTTTCTTTTTCTTATATCTTAGCTGAATTTTTGCTAAACGCTGTTAGCCTTATGTATCATCAGCAAATTTCATTTTTCTGAGAACATTTTGCAATATTTGTATATACATATATATATATATATATATGTTTATCAAAGGATAAAGAATAATCAAATGATAAACATTTGCAGAGTCGATTCATCAAATATGAATCCGCAGGAATTTTGGAATCGAGGAGTACAACTGGTTGCACTTAATTATCAAACACCTGGTCTTATGATGGATTTACAGGTTTAAATCATCATTAAAAAATTTGAACTGGCTAAATTTTAAAATGATGAAAAAAATATAAATTCATAAAAAATATAAATTCATTCAATTCAAAACTGAGAATCGCTTGAGAAACAGGCTAGATTTCAGGAAGGGAAATTTTCTGACAATGGTGGATGTGGTTATATTTTAAAGCCATCGATTATGAGGGATCATTTTTTCACTTTTGGTGATAAGTTGCCATTTCCGCCACAGGTTTGAAATCTTTAAAAAATATTGTAAAAGATTTTATCGCTCAGGATTTATTAATATATACAATGATAGTTCCCGGCCTATTCTTTGTAATCTATTTATCTATCCGAAATTTATTCGAATAAAAATAATTTATTAATAATCTTCAATTTATTCTTGAACTCTTTTTATTCCTATTATTAGATTTATAGGATTTATAGGATAGCAAAAGAACAGTCCTAAGGTAAATTTTGAACAAGTGAATTTTTTTCAAAAGAATAGAGTATCAACATTTTTCAAACAGATGTGAAAGGACTGATTAATCTTGTTTAATGTCTAATGGATTTAGCATACCTCATATCTCGAAAATTTGTTAAGATACTACATTTGCGAATCTTATCGGGCCAACAGTTACCTCGACCACGGGGTTCAACAGCTAAAGGTGACTCAGCAGATCCATATGTGATTGTTGAAATATTTGGTATACCTATGGATTGCGCAGAAGTACGCACGAAAACAATTAAAAACGACAGTAATTTTATTCAAAATCCATTGAAAGATCATAATAAAATGATAAGCTAAATGATAAATGGTAAATTCTCTTCCTCTGGTTTACCATTTAATAATTAGGGTCTTTAGTTTCATTTTTATGGACTTGAGATCATTTCATTTTTATATTTAAAAGTGTTTTGCCACAAAAAACTTCCCTTTAGCTAATCTTCTTTCGTAATTTTCCCAAATTAATAATCAAACAAATTGCATTTCGATTCAGTGGAAGTTTTAGTGAAAGGAAATGATAAAACTTCCAGAGAAATTTGCAAAAAACTGATTTAACATAATTATATCCTTCGAGATGAAGAATCCAAAAACAACAAATTTTCCATAAGAGAAAACGGCGTTTCAATATTTAAAATTTGAAAAAATTTCGCCATTTTTAAATTTATAAGAGAAAAAATTAAATAATAAAAATCAACAAGGAAGAAAATAAAATGTAAAATAAAAAATAAAAATGATAAATTTTAGAGCTAAAAGGATAAATAAATTGCAAATTTTTTAATTCTATTCAAATTCTAAGTTTATTTTAACTTTTAACTTATAAATCGTGTGCACCATAGATTAGACTTGCTCAAACGGTCATTAAAAAATCTGGGCAATACTGACTGACCATTTATTTTTTTGTCGTTACTCTAATTGTGGAAAATTAAAAAATTTTGAGTTGTGGAAAAAATTGTATATACTGCTGCTCAAGTTGTTGGTACGAAAGATTGATATATATGATAACCAGAAATAGGGGCGTTAATGAATTTCTTTTAAGCGAAAGCTCGCTCTGCTGGTTTTTCAGTCATTTGATCCATCTTGACAGATAACTAAATTATTATCATCATTATCAATCCTTTTATGCAGTCATTTCATACTTGGATTCGAAAAAAACCCATAAAAAAAGGAATTGTTTCTTGATATGTAAATGATCAAAAACAATAGCATTTTAGGCGTGAATCCATCCTTTGACGAAACTTTTCAATTTGAAATTACTGTCCCAGAATTAGCGTTGGTTCGTTTTTTGGTATTAGATGACGATTATATTGATGATGATTTTATTGGGCAATACACAGTACCATTCGAATGTCTTCAGAATGGTTGGCTTTTTTTTATTATCAAAATATGCATGAGTTTACTGAAATCTTTTAGTAAGGCTTGCTCTTTTGACAGACGTAACCTGTAATAATGCCAGCTGAAAAAGAGTAGTAATACTAATAGTAGTAATAGCGATCTAACACCATTTTTACCAAATTTTTAAACCTATCTTCCAAATCTGCAATTGACCATGCATTAATTTTGAAACATTTTGAGATAATACTTAATCGATAAGTTAAATAAGACATTGAAAATATCGTAAGAATTGACTCAGGTTTATTCGCAATAGGTTATCGCCATATTCCTCTAATGAACAATGAAGGTAATGCGCTGGATAAGTCGACTTTATTTATTCATACAGCAGTAACAAATCGAAGAGGAGGAGGAGTATGTTTAATTATTTTTTAAAATCACTTTTATGCTAATTTTTTTTTTTTTTTTGTTTTAGAAAACTCTCGAATTTCAAATTCCAATAGGAAAAATGAATTCCCTTTAATTTTCTAATTTTTCGCCATCTTTTCTTTACAATTTCTTTCTTCAATAAAAAACTAAGAAATAAGTAAATGATCGGCTCTCATCATTTCTAGTTAAGTGAACTCTCTATTGGGTTTTTTGGCCAAGGAGCCGCAGATGAGCTGCAAGTACTATGCAAGTACTATGCAAGTATCTTTTAATGATAAATTTATCTCTCTGGATAACAAGAGCTGAATCTATCGAAATTTATATTAACACGTTGATCCAAACCATTATCCATTCGGCCATAAATAAGCCCCATTATAATTAAATACGGCAAATTTTTTAAATTCTAATTTAGTCCAAAAATAACTCAAAAGAAAATATTTATGTTTTATTTTATTTAATATTTTATTTAAATATATTTAAATTTTTAAAAAAGTCCATTCAAAATCGAGCAATTTTTTTATTCGACAGTTATCCAAGCGAAATGTATTGAAAAAAAATTCCTTGACGGTGAAATGAATCCTCCAAACCCATTAGTGCACATTTCGATAAAATACGATAGTAATTCAAGGATAAATTAAGATAAATTCAGTGGATAAATCCGTTAAGCTGTTGAGATTAAAATTAAAACTGTTAAGAGGCTGGCATTTTTTAGTTTATAATTTATTTCTGCCATCCTAATTGCTTCCTTTAAGGGCAATGACTTATCAGCAGTTTAAATATTTTTATTAAATATTTTAAATATTTTCAATGATAGAAGAAATATTCCAAACATTGTTTAAGGTTGAAATTTTGTTCACGGTTGAAATACATAGGCTAAACCAAATTTATTATATCTTATATATGTAAATACTTGTATATATTTATTTGAGGCTTATCAATTGATGCATGCAATTTAATAGGATAATTTAAATCATTAAATTCTTTTCTTTTTCTAAGAACTCACATCTTTACTGGTTAGCCTGGTCCCACTGGTTGCAGCAGCGAAGCTTTTCCAAGTGGCTATAGCCGATGCTCTTGTATTATTAAAATCAACTATTGCTTAATTAGTCATCATGCTTTTGAAATAATTAGCACTAATCACTTAGGCTAAAAAAGGAAAATTTTGAAATTTTATAGTTATTTTATTATTTCAATGATTAAAGAGATATTCAAAAAATTTTTTCTGCAATGATTCGCTTCAAGTATCGTCAAATTTTGATATTTTTAAATGCTAAAAGAGAATTCAATTCACGGAATATTCTCCATAAGAGAATTAAAATCACCGGATTATTGTGATTCACGTTTAGAAACCAAAGAAACGAGGAATGTCAGTGAAAAGAAAAAGTCAACGAATTAACACCGGAATGAAATTAATTGGCGTTAAAAGCATCGATGATTTATTCAAAATTGCCGCCTTGCCGTTAGCTGATTCAATTCAAATGCGATCCAAATTAGAAGCTACGATGGTAATAGCTGAAATGAATTTTTCAAGTAACTTGAATTATAAAAATTTCTGAAAAAAATTTACAACACTTTAAATTGTTAATTCCTTCAACACAGATTAATTGGCAAGAGGACTGTGGTATAGGTCCAACTGGTACTGTAAGACAAGGTCTCCGAGTAATGCACACAAGAATGCTGGCCATATTGCAGAACGGTTTGCAATTTTTTTGAAAAAATTTCATAAAGTACAGTAAATAGTAACGTCTGCAAAATTCAATTATGGCAGATCAAATGTTCTCAGAATTCTTTTTCGATTTTTTATATCGAAAATTATGTGATATTTCTCTTACATTTGGGTTTGGTATGTGGCAAAATGGTTGCCACTGAAAATGACTCGGATTTTTATTCGGTCAGCGCATCCTACTTTGCTTTCGTCGTTAGGCGATATTTGCGTTCAATAATGAGAGTAAAAATAAAAACAAAGTAGAACGGTTCAATACGTTGTTTTTCAATTCGGAGAATCTATAATCTATTCTGAGATACTCCGCTTCGTAGGAGCAAAAGTTCAAAAATCCGGATGATGCTGGAGACTCGCCTGCATTTCTACTACTAAGTAATTCCTTGACAAAATTTATCTGCTCCTAACCGGCAGTGGTGAGCTCTTAGAAAAAATAATTTTATGTTTCAAATTTTGCGCTATACACGCTATTTTTCTTTGTGCTGGTTCCATTGTCCATAAGATTTTGAAACCTCTCTTCAAGCCTCTCGATGATGGCATAAACCATCTTTTTCCACAGCCTAAGGCAAAATTAAGAAATGAATGATATTAATGAGTACGTTAATTTTTAAAGCTACATCTTCGCCACCACGATCACCAAATTGCAATCGCAAGTGCGATTATACTCAGCCGGGCTTTATTATTTCAAGCAATCAGAGAAGTGTTAGTTCTCTTTTTTTTTAAAAAATTGAAATTTTCACATTGAAATACCATTGGCATCAAATAACATATTACCATTTGTCTGAGGTGGATGAAGCGGTTTTCAATGGAAGAGCAAGCACGGGCAATTTTTGATATTTATTTTGTTTCATATAGTTGAAAATCATTGACTTAGATGAAAATTTATCTAACGACCTAGAACGCGTAGTACCATCTGAGAAAAATTTGCGACAAACCATGTTCTACGAATTTCATTTAATTTCACATAGTAACGAGTGGAGGAAGTGTCACAGATGATCTCGAAATCTAGAAATGGTGGTTTTAGTTTTAAGAAACCCAGGGAAAATTCTTAAAAAATGAGTTGAAGTTGACTAGAAATAAGCACTAGAAATCGCTAAAACAATAGGTTATAATTATGATAAGCAAATGATATTCCATTTATAAACCGTAGGGATAATATTAGCATTTGGGTGTTCTACATTAATTTGTCGACGAGCATAAATTTTAACAATCATTATTATTATTTCTTTCTAGATGGTGAAGGAATTCTTAGGCAGAATTGTTATAGATTTATAGATGATGAAAAATAAATGCTTTTGATAATCCTAGTTGTAAATTCCTATGGTTGTCGACAGATAATAAGACAGGTAAAAGCCGCAAACCTGATATTCATGGCAGAAAAATGGCACTAGAAGCATGGTGGAAAATAAAGGAGATAGTTCATTGTAAAGTGCTTAAATTTTATCAGATCATCACCTTTTATTGAAAATTTGAATGATTATAGTAATATTTTTTAGAAGAACTAACATCAAATAAAATGTGTTTCCATTTCTTGGAAATCATCGTATATTATAATAAATATTCCAAAATATTTTTATTTCCTGTTATCTCATAAAATTACGTAAGCATTATCCATTCTTGCAGTTCATTCTCCATTCTCCATAAAAATTTTTCCGGAAATTTGCCATTCACTACCAAAATATTTTCTTAATCACTGAGATCACGGATTAACAGGTTCACTTTCGAATAACGTAAAATTCTCTTAAGATTAATCCAGTTTAGCATCCAATAATAGAAACGCGTGGTGTCATTCCTGAACGTTTGCAACGAACGATCGATTCACTGAAACGTTTAATAGAAATCTGCGAACAAATTTTAATTTCCATGGATATGCTTTTGATAAAGGTTTTTCTCGATAATTTTCTTTCAAGAATAGGTCTTTAAAGAAAAATTTTGAAAAATATTTCAAGAAGCTAATTACAAAATTTTTCTTCAATAATTCATCATAATTATTTTTGAGCGCAGCTAGTTTTCGTAAAAGAATCAATTCTTTTAGTTAGAAGATACAACTAAGAAGATAAGCAGTTCATATAATAAACTGCCAGAGATTTGTGCAGAAACTGGCTTACGCGGTTTAAAGGTTATACGTGCTTCCGAAAATTTCGCCTGGAATGTTCGCTTATTGAAAGCGCAGTTGACGCTAATGAGCAAAACACAAACAGAAGCAAACGATATTTTTACTCAGGTTCGAGATTCCATTTCGTTTAATGGCATGCGAATAGGCAAAATGAAGAATATTTATAAAGTGCTAGCTCACCCTTGGACAAAAATTTACTTTAAATAAAATTAAATAAAATTTTCGAGTCTCGAAAATTGAAAAATGCTATCTAAGATAAGTTTTGAATCTTTCTTATCGTAGAGTAATAGAGTTTTTATAAAAGTAATTTTTATCGTAAAGTTGGGAAGGCAACTTTTTTTCCAAATAGTATACTGTTCTGCTGCACTGAATACTAGGTAAGATGCTTAAAAGTATGCTAATTCGATGGCATATTTGAAATTAAGCCACTCTTTTTTCGTCATTCTAAGCCAATAAATCGCTTGTGCATTCGAATCTATTCTGACTCTTCCAGACTTAGATGGTTCTTTTGATACATAAGGTGTGGGGACAACATCTTAGCTGAGCTTGACGTAAATCTCAAAGTCTTTAGGCAAAATTTACGATTAATATTGGAGTCTACGACAAGATTTGAAGTACAAGTAAACTTAAATAACAAAATTTAAGATAAGATAATATGGTAGAGAAAATTCATTTAACAAAAATGGACTATTCTTCAAATCGAAAAGAATAGGAACGCAAGATCAGATAAAACATTTTAGATATTCGACGCTGCATGTATCCTTGGAATTTTATCAAGCAAATGTTCAACCGAGATATGTGCACACCATTTTGCGCACACATCGTTATGTTAATTGTTCTTCATTGTTGTTGAATCTTTTATTGCATAAGGATGCCTGGTTTATAATACTAACTCTGTACAGTTTTGCCTATAATTTTTGTAGTTTCATTTAACTCTTATACTCATGATACTTTTATACAATTTAATGCATAAGAAAATGTCTGCGCAAAAATTTTTCTCTAAATTCAGGTTTTTAATTTTAAATTTAAATTTTCAGCCAATAAAGTTGAAAAGTTGGAATTACGGTTCTGCAGGTTCTTAAGAAACTTCAAAAAAAAAGAAACTTATTAAATAAAAAATGATATTCAAGTTTACCTCATCCCTGCAAAATTAAGTTGAAGTTGAATCAAAGTTGCTAGTATTGATGACATTATTAATTCATCTAATAAAGCAGATTTTCCTAAGCAAAATTCATTTTTATAAAAGTAATTTTTATTTATTGCGAAGAAAATTTGCAAAAACAAGATTTTTCGCTATTGAGCGGTTGTATTTCTGAGGTTCAGCTGAAATTTTGCTTTTGTTATGTGTGATGTATATTTTTATTTATTAATATCAATTTTGCAATTATTACTTTTAGCATATTTTACATTTTGTACAAAGCAGGTATTTTATGTTTTGTCATTAATAAAGCTGTTATCTCATATATAAGTCTTCGAGTCTTTGATGAAAAATTTGTACCAATTCATATCAGTTAATATACAATAATTAAGCAAGTTAGTTTGATCAAAAATTTTGATCAAAAATTTGTGCCAAGAAGTTGAGGATAGCACATCCGAGTGGATAATGACCCAGATTGCCATGTTAAAAGCAAAGATTCGGATCTGGTACTCTATGGGAATAGATTTGCCATTAAAAAATTAGAGATTAGAGAAAATTAGAGAAATTAGAGATGTTGGTGGCCCATCGGGCCTGTTCTATTACCAAATGGATGGTAACTTAGCCAGAAATGATGAGCATCAAATCGCTTACTTGTACTTGAGGATGAATAGATGGACAAATGAGTCCATAGCACAAGCTGAATCCCAAATGAAAGATATTTTATCCCTCTTATTTCATATTAAAATTCTAATTTTTTAAATTGTGCTGTTTTAAATCCTTTCAATTCTGATTTCTGAAAAAAAAATTCTGAAAAGATTCAAAACGAAAGTGATTCTAAATAGATCGACTGTTACAGATTTTTAAACCATTTTATATTTTAAGATTTCAAATTATGTATTTTCATCTTTAATTTATTTTTATTAAATTATAAACACTGAGATGAAAAATTATTCTAGCACCATAGGAGAAGAGTTCCAAAGGTTGGATCTTCACAGGGAATTGATATTAATTGGAAAGAAATGAAACAGCTTCATGATATAATGGAAATGGAAGAGAATCAAATGAAGGATCCTAAAGATGCATCATTCATCTGGAAATCAGGTCTCGGAGAGGTCGATCCGGATTTAGTTAGTCACGTAAAAGTTGTCAAATCTCAACAGTCTATTGATTCTCGAGAATCTGAAAAAGCTTGCAAAGAACATGAATCGTAATAATTTTAGTCTTAAAAAACTAGAATGGAGTGCTAACAAATCACAAATTTTTTTGGAATTTACAGTTATTAATAATTTTTCTCCAAATATTATGTTGATGGCTATTTATAACGATTGAACACTGTTTTTGCTATTATTTACTTACTGAAATATTTAGTTGGAAATATTTTGTGAGCGTGGATGATATGTCGGAATGGAGAAGCGTAACCGCAGTTTTGTCTAAGGCACTTTGTTATATTGACGTCATCCTTGATATTATCCAAAATCACTGCTTCTAAAATATGAAAATCCCGTTAAATCCCGCACTCCCTTAATTCAAAAACCTCGTTTTATTCTTTTGCACTGAACCATTACTAGCGTGTGTCATCCCCTTCTCTTCGTTCAGTGGCCTGTTAACGCCAGTCGTATTCATATAGTCTCCAAACGCTTCAGCAAACCTCATAACTCTCTTTTGCTACAGTCTTCTACAGATTATAAATCATAAATTGCACTTAACAGAGTACTGCGAGAACACAGTAGATATTGGAGTATAGTGGGGAGAGATATGGGAATAAAGGCATTAAACAAGGATAATGGAGGTTTTGCTGATAAAGCAAAATTGAAAGAAATATCAAGATAAGGTGATATTTATCAAAGGCTATATCTCAGTTTGAAGATAGTTTTCCCCTTCGGGATCCTTAGAGCACTTGTTTTTGCTAGGATCACAACAAATTTTAATCGAAATATTTTGATGTTACTTATCGAAAGCAAATTAAATCTTATTAAATGCAAGAAAAATTTTGCTTTAATTTTTATTGGACGAAAATTTGTTAACTTCCTTATTTACTAAATTCAAGAAAATTAACGATTAAAACTAACGATTCAAGAAAATTTTTCTTACTTTTTTCCCAAAGATTGCATTGCAAATAATTCAGCTCGGCAAATGCAGTTAGCACAGCCCTTGATGACAAAAAAGAGCAACCAATTCAAGTAGGTTAATAATGATAAATTTTAATCTGCAGAAATTACCAAATGTAAAAATCAGGCCATTTTAAATTTTTATAATAAAATTGAATTATATAGAAAAATTTCATAGAAAAACTTTATTTCAGACTGACACAACCAAGAAACAAGGCAACCAAGATATAAATACGCCTGAACTTCCAAATAATATATCCAAATTTAGCCGCAAAGGTGAATCAGGTTGCTCTGGCAAAAAAAGGGACTCAATGGAAATAGCTCGATCCAACCAAGATAGAGAGCCAGTGAAAACAACTCTACCTAGGCAAAAAAGTGAATTAGCCAAAGCGACTTCCAACCAAGTAAATGAATTAGGAAGAAAAGATCAATCAGGTCAAGAGATTGAACCATTTAAAATAGCTCGATCTAGCCAAGAAAAAAAATCATTTCGAGCTATGTATTACGACAAACAGTATGAAGGAACAATCATGGCCAATGAGAGCAAAAAAATTTTGTCTGATCGGGAAGATAAAATTATTTAAAATTGTTTGTTGCAAACGAGAATTATGAAAAATGATATGGAATTCGCTGAATTTCATCTTGATAGTAAATTTGCAGATAAATTTAAGTAGTCAAAAAAATAAAATTCTGCGAGAATTGTACATATATACATATGTAAACATTGTAAATATTACAAAAAAAAATCTATTTCTCTTCCCTATGGGAGGTGAGGATAAACCTCAACCTCTGGTCCTCTAACACGGGCTTGGGAAATTGAGGATTCTACACACACTATCTTGGTTATTCTTAATACCCTTCTGCTCTTTTGGATAGAGAAGCCTATTTTGGATAAGGGTCTCGGATATTGTTCCTGGAATTTGCTGAAGTAACTTTTCTAACTTAAGGATCATAATTCCGAGTACTCCAGTTATCGCTTATTACTTTGGTCACCACTTTCCCGCTTTTCACAGCTCCTCTTTTTTGGGAAGATTTAAGCCATATATTGAGCAGATTCCAATAGATGATACCAGCTATTTATTTATGTCTTTTAGTGAACGTTGCTCTTTCCTATCGGGCTATTTCTAGGACGATGAATTTATTTTTGTATAACATATACATATACATAGAATTGTATGGTAGTACATAATTCCCGACGATTCAAATAAGAAATTATCGGATATTTATATATATATATTCTCTTTCTTTGCCACTGTCTTAAAGGAAAACAAATAAAAAATATTTAAAATAATTGGTCCAAAAATAATTCAACATTTGTGATTTACACATATATGTCTTATTAATTCATATTTTTATTAAAATGCACATTGTAAGTATTAAGGGAATCCAAGGATGTCACTGGAAAGGTAGAGGCTTTTTGCTGCGATTCTGCATCTTTAATGCATTTGTTAGCGCCCTCTGCCTCCTGAAACCAATTTCTTAAAAATTTGGCGCTTTCTTACTAAACATTTTTCTTAATTTTATTCGAATTTAAAAATCCTTAATGTAGTGAGCGAATTCTTCGTATTGCATTATAAACATGCGGGTATATATCTAATCTCAGTGATGCGCAACCTGTAGCCGTTTTAAAAATCTGTGGGGCCGATCATGAAATTTTGAACCTTTGGAAAAAGAATTCTAATTCTATGAAAATTTTTCGCTTTTTTTCATCTTTACTTTTTACTTTTTCTTTCAAATTTTTTAATTTTTTTAACTTTAACTTTTAGTTTTTCAATTTTAAATTATTTGCTTCGGTGTTTTGCATTGCCACAATTCTTTTTTTTTTCAAGAGTCCTCCTATTACTGGTTAAACTCGCTCCACTGGCTTGTCGCAGTTGAACAAATATGCCAAGGAGTTGGCGATAGAAATATAGATGAGTCACCAGCATCACCCGGATTTTTATACAGGTTTACTCCTGTAGGGAATCGAACCTCACCACCGGCGCTCCAAACTGAGCAACAACCCACTGAGCTATGTGGTATGTGGCATTATTTTCAATGTGGTATGGGTTGGAATTGCCACATTACTTCAATAAGAAAAAAATATTTAGAACCTAGAAAATGATAAATTGAAGAGAAGTATACGTTTTCGAGCGAACAAAAGGAAAAGAATGTGGAAGAATCGAATGTATGAAGCTTGCGCGAATCAAGCAATTAAATTACTTGACCATCTTCGCCAGTAAATTTCTTGTAAATAGTTATCGAAGATTGATAATAAAAGAAAATAAATTAATAATAACAATTAATTTAATGGAATCTTTTGGATATTATTACAATAACTAAATAATAATTGAATAACTAAATAATAATTGAATAATCAAAATAAGATAAGATAAGATAATAATCATACAGTGCACATTGTGGCATTGCAGCAAATTATTTTATATTATTATAGTAAAATTCATTGAAGTTAAATCGAAAATAATTTCGAATCCACATTTTATATCGACTGCATTGCTAAGGATTTATTTTTATTAAGTGATTCTTCGTTTTCCTTGGTTAAACTGGAAAAAAACTTTTAAATTTATTCTTTTAAAGGGCGAAGAACCCGTCACTGAAAAGTCAAACTGGTGCAGGTGAATTGGTGAATTTGCCCTTCAACTGCTAATTCCTATTTTCTAGCCGTATTAATATCCATCAGAATTAACCGCTTACTTACTTTTTATATTGTCAAATAAAAAGGAAAAAATTTAAGGAAACTCTCAAGGCTAAATAGCTCTTAACATATGAGACCATAGCTCTTACAGCAATATGAAACCAATTACTCACTGAAAAACTTCAGTTTCATCTTCAATTATTTAAAAATGTCGAATAGAATAAGAAGTACAAGCTTCATAAATTCTGGGCAGAAAGACAGTAGCTTTAATTAAGGTCAGGCCATCAAGGCCATCATACGTTCGATTTCTATATCTTAAACCTGCGAAAATGTGGAAATGAAGGTAAAAAATTGAAATGAAGTAAAAGCATAAAAATTTAAAACTTTTTTTCTAGTTAGACTTGCTCTATCGACTATTAGAGTAATAAAGCTTTACCAGAAATTAATCTAGGGCTCGGCAGCTTTGCCCATTCCGGAAGCAATGGCTGAATCATGGTGTTTATAATATTATATTTAAGTACTTCCTAAACTGCTATAAAAAGTCAAATATAGTATCGAGGTAACATTCATCTGCATTTATATTCACAAATTATTCTAAGAAAGTGGTCTCATCCAATAGCCAATGAATAAGAAATGATTGCTACAGACGAAGAAAGAAAAGAACAAATCCGGAAATAATAATGAAAGTAGGTTCACGGAGAATTTTCGTTTTGATTTTTGCTTTCTTCTTTAGTTCGATCTTTTTCTTTCACCATCAATTCATTAAGTTTTGCCTCCAAGTTTTCCCTTATTTGACGCTCTTCCTCAAACATTCTGAAAATTTATTAAATATTTTCTAATAGTCGAACTCTAATTGTAATTATCGTACAATCGTTATTTTTTCTCGATAATCAGGTAGACAATGGTTTAAATCGTGTTGAGAAGCAAATATTGGATACTTGGCTCTATTAAGTTAAAAGAAGTGAAAAGAGAAAAAAGTAAAAAAAAGCTCTGGCAAAAAACTTCTAAGCGCATTAATAGCCAATGGAACCAACCTAGCTGGAAATAATGAGCGCAAATCTAATAAGTTTAGTTCATAAAAATATGAAAAAAAACTTACAGTTCTTTTTAAGACTTCTTGAAGTTATTCCAGAGTAAAAAAATTAAATACTTAAAAATGATATGAAAAGTATTTTAAAATAATATCCGAAATGAAAGAAATAAAATCTCCGCCATTTTTTCGTAAGTAATTTTTTGTAAAATATATTTAATTAAATGAAATAATATAGTAAATAAATAAAAACCTTGTAGCAAGCGTACGAACAACTTCTTCATCATGAAGTGCTTTACGTTCATCATCAAGTAATTGCATCAAGCGAGCATTTTCATATTCAAGTGCTAATCGCCATGTTAAACTTTTCTCGGATGGCGATAAATTTTCAACTCGACTTGAACACTTCTTATCATATTCAAGTAATTCTTTTGAAGTTCCACAATCCACAGCTAACTTCATTTCTAATAATGGCAAAAAATTAAAATATGAAAAAATGAAATATGAAATTTTTTAAATTTTTTCTTCTTGGGCTTGTTCTATCAGCTATTAGGGTGAAAAAATTTTATTAGAGATTTAGCCAAGGCTATAGGTGGATTTTTAGTATCACTTGGATTTTTTAATGGAGACTGGAAAAAGCCATGGCTGAACCAAAACTATGATATTATATTTAAATACTTCTTAAATTACTCGCACCATTGCTGGTTTGATTCAATACACTGGCAAGCTGAGGAAGATTTTTTTTTCATCTTGACTCAGTGTCATTTCTAAGTAGATAATTCTTTTAAAAGTAGATGATTTACTCGACATCTTTTACTCTTTGATCTAGTTTCGAACTATGTAGGATCTCAGTGTGAAAATCTGGCCACCCAAGTCAAAATCCGGTTAAGCGCATCCTGCCTTTCATGCCACTCACTCTATTCAACAGAAAAGAATCAAAAATCTTCTCAGAAATATCTAGCAAGTTAATTCCTTGATAGTTATTGCTCCATTCCTTGATAGTTATTGCTTCATAATGTGTTCCATTATTTTTCTAGGGAATTGAGAAAATGCCTTGGTCCAGTTTCATAATATTTGAATATATTATTAGTGAATATATTCTGTGGAAGCTGGAAAGCATCTGAAAAGTTTAGCTTGTAGACCGACTTTACGAGTCTACTGGAGCTGTCGATAGTTAGCATCATCTGACACGCTCTGATAGTGGTCATGCACTGAAAGCCAGTTTGCCATCTTTCGAATTGAATCTCCAACTTCTAGAGAAGGCTTTAGTGAGAGCCAATACTCACTGGGAATTCCAGAGTCGCTGTTAAAATCCTCAGCATATCAACTTGAAATATGCCAGTTAGCCCTAAATCTTTTAACTCGAGACAGTCAAAAGATTTTTGGAAGATATTGTGTTATGCGCCTTGCTATTTGGATCGTGATTCTTACCATGAAGTGGTCTAACTCTTGCAGATTGTCAGTTTCGACTTCGTGGATGTAGTCGATTATCTAGCGCAGAACTTTTCCGTTGATGACTGACCAGAATATAGTCAGTGTAATTGGTATTGATTATATAACGAGTTTCAAGCAATTAGATCATCCATAGTGCTGAAAGCATATATTGGTTGTAAAAAATCCATGCTCCTCAGCAAAGCGAAGAAGATATTCTCCATCAGCACATCTGATCCAAGTATATTTGGAACCACAGAAAATAGTGGGATATCCCCTCGATTTACGTACTATCTCGCCTCCTTATGGAAGAGATACTTCTAGCAAGTTAAGACAAGTTAAGCACAGCTTCGAATCTATTTTTATCCAAATCGGCTCAAATGAGGTAGCATAAACACTAATGACCAACATATTGCAAGTAGCCTTTAAAAGTGGACGTTGGGCCAATTAATAGGATTTCACAATTGAACCGATCGCACCCTTTTGGGCATAATAGTAGCAATTCCATCTCTTTTTGAGTTATACGAAACATCACTGTGATGCGGCCAGTAGTTCAGGTAAAGCCCGATTTCCCACATCAATAATTATTACGCGCACTTGTGGCCAAGATTTCATTGTGTTACATAGAGCCGCCTGTCATTTGTTTGATTTCCTTAACTGAATCACAGATCCCTCAGAGCAGCAATTTACATGACTGCCTTCAGTATTATATGCGAGTCTAATATTTTTATCGCACGTATGATCGAATTAGGAATAACATCCTCAACAAAACAAGATTATTTTATATTTACTTAGCCCTTTCGCTACAGAGTCACTTAGGTGCAGACTAGGACCACAGCAGCTATTCGGATTCCAATTTAATGACAGGTTCGAAAGCAAAGAAATAATTAAAAAGGGAACTTTATTTTGTTGATTTCATTATTTTATTAAAGTTGAACAATAGCAAATGAAAATTGAAAAATTCGAAAATTAAAAATTAAAAGGGGAGCTCGACTGGTTTTATAGATCAATATACTATTAATAGATCACGGGAACGACTCAACCACTCTAGACTCATGCGCCAATAAATGCCATATTTCCTAAAGAAGTAAAGATGGGTGGTGATCTTAAATAATAAATTATAGTGCAATAAATCAGGTGAATGTCAAGCAGTTAAAATAAAATATCCTTATCCTTTACCTGAAATATTGGAAATATCAAAAAAAAATGATAAAAATGGCGCTACGGAACCCATGAACCCATGGATGAAGCACTTTCCTGATTGCCAGTAATTCCCAACAAACCAGAAATGATGAGTGCATTTTCATTAGAAAATTATGAAAACTAATCATTTAAACAATCCATACCTGACATCCACTGTGAACATTTTAATTTATCTAAATGTCCAAATAAATATTTGTCCTTGTCAGCATTTGATAAACTCCAGCAAAACAAATCATGATCGACAAATTCTTCCTAGAAAAACTGCAAAATTAAGTTTATTTGGAATAAATAAACTAAGGACTTTTCTGCAATGTTTTTTCGCTAATGGGGATCGGTAAAATGTTTTCATTAATTCATATCACTGAACTGCAACTGAATTCGGTTAAATTAGCTAAATTCTTAGTCATAAAAAGTAGCTTTGTGGTATTTCCACACGCACGGATTACCACTGTTTTTTAACTTATGGAGAATCTGTGCCTTATTTGTAATTAATTTATATAGAAATCAAGCAGTAGAGCCCATGTAAAGTGAAAAGGATTATCGCACTAACCTTATCTTTCATGAGAAATTTTGAAAATCTTCATTGATTATTCGGAAAAAATTTTAAATTTCCAAAGGGAAATACTAATTAAATGGATGAAAGATTTATATTTATCTAAATATTTGCCAATGAGCTATAAATCTATAAGCGAAAATTTAGTTGCAAAATAATTTAATTGCGAAATTTATTATAAATCTTTGCATAATAACTGAATTAGACAACATGACTGCAACGATTAGAAGGACTTTAATGAATAAAAATAGATAGAATTATGGAAAACTTGTTCAAATCAAGGCATATTGTGATGGTTTTTGTTTGGTTAATTTCGGTGGATTTGATGGAATCTGTTTTGAAGAGATCTATTCTTACTCGAAGAATCGCATTTCGATCAACATGCATTACAATTTCTTTGTCCACAACAACATTATTCAATGATTTCAGAGAAATTTTTCCAGGCAAAACTGTACACCAAAAAATTGACCATTTTTTTCGTTTTCTGATATAATTCATCTTTTTATCTTTTCGATATAATATAAATCCCTAAAAGATTTACCACTATAATACTATAATAATATAAATGAAATTTACTACTATAATATTATAAATGAAAATACTGACTGCATTTAATTCAATTTAAATTAAGGAAGCAATCAGCTGTTTATGTTCCAATCTCTTTACTTTGGGATTCAATTATATCTTGCCTAATAAAATATCCCTGTTTGAAAGAGAAAACAAATGAGTAAATAATGTGAAATCCATGATAATATGAATTCAGGATTTTGTAAAAATTCATAGAAGAAAGATAGGAGTAAGGAAAATTATTTCCTGAATTTTGGATTCGTTGTAAATGCTTATTTCTTCAATTTTAGCGATAAAAAACGATCGAAATTGAGGTGAAATTGAAAATGAATAAAATTTACGAAAAACTTTCCAAGGCGACAATTTCGAGAAAAGTGGTGTTTGCACACCATTTCAGTCAGTATAGATTGAGCAATGAAATTTGTCAAAAAAGCGAAAAAAAGTTTGCTAGAAGCAATTTATTGGTAGCACCTGACTCATCCTCGAATATATATTAAATCAATAAGGACGACTTCATAAAAAGAAAATTGAACCTTAAAAATAATTTGAGAGATAAATCTTTCGAAAATTCTTTCAATAACCACTTCAAATTCAGATTTATTTGGAAATAACAAATCGCACGTATAAATGAATTCATCGAAAGAAACCAAATCCGAACGAGTTATAGAATGAATGCTATATTGAGCTAAGTTCGGTCGGTTCAATCTCAAGCAAAATATTAGTTATTTTGCATTTTATGTTAATTTTATCACAATATCTGGATAGACGAATAGAGTTTTCTTATTATCAAAACTCACCAATACTGGTTTGGCTATTTCAAATATCTTCCTTCAGAGAATCTTATGGGGATGTAGTTGCAAGTGGCGTCTGTATTTATGGCACGTTCATTTCTGGAGTAAGAAATCGAATTCGTGGCGTGTGCAATTCATACAAGTGATATATTGCTAAGACTATCCGCTTGCGCATCGTCAGTGTTTCGTTAAATACGGAACGTGCGGCAGACAAAAGAAATTGGCATAGGTATAATGAACTCCAAGGTTAGTGGGAAATGATTTTACTTCCAGAAGAGATTGTAAGTTTTCTGTCGCCAGTAAACTAATGGATTTAAATAAATCAATACTGATAGAAAAAAGAAAGAAATTATTCGTTTAATGTCAATTCTCGATTAAAAAAAAACCCGCATTTTTAATTTCTATAATTTTATTATTTTACGCGATTTTAAATGTTATAACTATGAGTTAATTGAACCATAAATGAATAAATATTTGAAATTTTTAGAACATTCAAAAGAAAACATGTTTAAAGATTAGTTCTAAAGATTAGAATATAAATGCACTATCTACCTTTAATTTATTAAAACCCAATTATCCAAACCATGTTTCTTCTTGTCATCTAAGACTCTAAGACAAAAGATCACCTATTTGAAACGTGAGGATTAACGCAAAATTAAACAATCACCTGAAAAAATGATTTATAAGAAAATGAGCTTGAACGGCAGTCAATTTTGGTTGATCCATCTCAATAGCATCGCTGAATGACATAAATATTTTCGAAAGTTTCTGCAGTAGCACTTCAGAAATGGGCCGTTTAGTACCATTTCTCATTATTTTGAATATCCGAATTCTGAATCAAATTTGTCTTTTTCGTAACCAGAAAACTTATAAATTAAAATATGACGAGATTAGACGATGGATTTTGTGGACTTTAGACAAAACGTCCACAATAATTCTATGAGGAAAAAAATGTTAAAAGATTTTATATTACAGATGGGAAATAAAAATATGATATAATATGCCTGGAATGAAAAATTCATAACTTTATTGGAGTATAACTGGGAAAAAGCTAATCGGTTATTATTGTGGGCAATGATTATAATCGTTTCGCTTCACTGATAATTTGTTATTCTCATCAAATGGATTAAATAAATAATTTTATGCCGGTTGATTAATTTAGATAGAAGCTAATGATTAAAAAAGATGAACAATGAGCTAAAATTACTATGTGCAAAATTAAATTAAAAACTCGCGACCTCACGACTTTTTTTATTCGCGCTATTAATTACTGGAATAAACTACCGAACAATGTGGCTTGTGCGTCTTCTTTAGCTATTTTCAAAAAAAGATTAGATAATATCATTCATGATATTATTTAAAAAGAGTTCGCATTATGCAGGAAGTTTGAAATCTTGATTTTTACCATTCGATTGCGTATAACTAATATTTCAAACTGTGTTAATTTGCAATTACTCTTTGTTTCCTCTTTACTTTTTTATTTTTTTTTATTTTTTTTATCACTAATTTTCATTATATATTTTATTTATTGTTATTAATACAAGCACACGGCGCTTGCTTCCTTGCTTGGTTGTCAATAAATTAAATAAGTTCATGAATTTTTTCTTCTTCTAACTTTACTGAGACAAACAGAGTAAAGCGCAATCGCCAGAGAATTACTTTGGAAATGGAAGTAAAAATGGCTCTCCAGCATCACACGAAATCACTTTTTAATAAAAAGTTTGGATTGTTTAATAAATATCACATTCAGCAACGTTTTTTTTAAAGAAATATGAGAATATAAGATTGACCTAAAATTTATTAAAGAGTTTGTATAATATGCGCCCACCCTCTGGTAAGCTAACTATCAGTATTGCTGCCAGTGCAATGAAAGATTTTTCCAGTGACTCACTTGGGAATAGAAGATGCATTGCTTAATTGGCCAATTCAAACTGAAATTTATTTATTTGAAACCTTTCCTTTATATCAAATTAAATTAAATTGAGGCGTTCTACTTAATTAATTACAAATAAAATTTGAATTAATAGATAAGAACTTTATCAAACTTAATAGCTTAAAGGATTGATAAAATCTACGCCTCAAAATACCTGTTGCCCAGTTTTCACAAAATTGTTTATTAAAAAATTCCGCTCTTAAACCATCTGAAAAAAATTAAACATTGAGTGAATGAACGAATAGATGAATGAATGCTATGAAGAAAATTACTAATTTGATAAAAATCTCTAAAATTTAAGATAAAATTTTAATTAAAAAATTTTCTCATTCGTCATTTTTTAGTGAATAAAAGCGGTTGAAACTCATAATCTAATTTTTTTAAAAAAACAGTTAGGGATTTCGGATAACGATTACTTATTAGTTCCTAAGAAATTTATCGGATTTTTTTCCGAGTTAAAAAAACTTCCTTAAATTTGACGGGAAAATAAAAATGATAAATGAAAATGCAATAATAAAATTGGAAAATATGTTCAAATGAAATTCATTCTTATGAAATCTCCGACCGCTTATGAATAATAATCAAAAATTTAATTCCATTCAAAATAACTTAACCATTTTATGAAAAAAATCTCCTTAGCCCAGTAGCTAATATTATTGTAAAAATACAATACTTTTTTTGTTTAATTACATTTGAGGATTTATTTTTCCTTTCCAACAACTTTTCGCATTTGGCCATCTCTATCCAAACACTGGGCTTAAATCCTTTTGCCAGAGAACCACTTGGAGACCACAGCCCAGAACATTCATTTTTAATGATAGGTTTACCCTCATTAACAGACAGGAATTGATCCAATCATGCACCAATTACATCCCCCCTTTAACATAAGAATTCATGGGAATCCGGGTGATGCTGGCGACTCACTTGTATTTTTATCGCCAAGAGACTTCCTAGCATATTGTCCAATACGACAAGCCAGTGGAGCGAGTTTAACCAGTAATGGTGACGACTCTTTAAAAAAAAAATCAATTATTCCCTCCCTTTAACATGAAAATTCTTGGGGAGAATTCTATATATGAATTTTTGCAAATGCGAATGGATAAAAAAAATAATTCAGTTAATTTTCAAATCATTATTATTAAAATTATCGCATTTGCAAAAAAATGTTATTTATTTAATGTTATATTTATTTTTATTTATTACTATATTAATGACCAAATTTATAAATTCGCAATCACATTCCAAAGAATTTAAAATCAACCGCACAAAATTAAAGATACTGCTGACTATTTAACTGCACTCAGGAAATATGATTAGGCTGACTAAATGGGTCATTACTGTCATTTCGGAGCCTAATGACATTACTTACTATTAGTTACTATTAGCATGGAAAGCACCACTGATTAATAGGTTGAAATTGTTTCGCCGGAGGGCATTTAGGAACAGAATTATACATGGGTGAGTATTCATAAAAATAACTTAAAATAAATAATAAAATAAAAATAACTTAGCTATAATATTAAAAGATGATTGATGAATAAATCCAGAAAATCGGTTGTTTACATGAACGATGTGAGAAACTAATTCCAATGAATTTGCTTAAGTGAACTAATCCATTTATTTTTTTTCCTGCAAAGCCTAAGCCAATAAACAATAAATAACTAAGCAGTTTTATTTGTTTAAAAAGTTCCCAAACCACATACTTCTAAACTTTTAAAAATATTTGACTCACATTTAAGTAATTTTATTGAAATATGAAAATTACCATAATTTTTGAAATTTATCAAGCAATAAAGGGAAATCGAAGGACATTTATTCATTCTCCGCGATGTACAAAAGGCCGTCGTCATTTGCCGCTCAGTTCTTGAAAATCTCTAATGTTGTTGTTATACTTCAAGGACAATTATTATAATTATTGAATAATTTATAGTATTTACTACGAAATTTAGTTATCAATAAAAATAAATGTAATAAATATTATTTATTTACTTATCTAAACAATTGTTTATAGTGCAATGAATAAACTATCACTTTTTTTCCTTATCCTATTTCGTTCAAAGGTTGGCGCTCATCATTTCTGAACGCGCTGGCTCCTCTTGTTAGTACGGTTAGCAATTTTTGTTAAGAAACCATTTGGCGATAGAAATATGGATCGGTCAGGGGTCGGTCTACTATCACCCAGATGTTTTAATGACAAGTTCATTCATGTGAGGCAAGAGTTGAATTTTTGCCTTTCATTGCAATAATCTGAGTTATTATTCATTACGCTATCCACCTTTATTTTAAGCAAAAATTTTGCAGACTAATATAGAAAGCAGTAATTTTTTATTTTCTTACTGCTCGCATAAAACTTTTTTGAAAGCAGTGAAAAAGTGAACTGGTTAATAATAATAGTAAATAACAAATAATAATAATGTAATAAAATACAATAATAAAAAAAATAATAATAAAATGGTAACAATAAAAATAATAAATTACTAAACAGATTCATGGCAACACGAGTTAGCAGAATGCGCCCTAATCAAGCTGGATTCAGACCGGAACGCGGTTGTGTGCTGAACAGATATTTACGCTAAGAAGAGTGCTGGAATATCGCTTTAAATACCAGCAACCCACCGTCACTTGCTTTACCGATTTTGCAGCTGTCTTCGATTCATTTGATAGAGCAGCGCTCTGGAAAGTGATGGAATGTGACGCTGTCCCACAGAAGACCATTCGGCTCACAAAGGCATTTTATCAGTATACCCTGGTGCAGATCAGTATACCCTGGTGTGTATATGGGGGAACTGATAGATTCCTTCGAAATAAGAACTGGTATCCTGGTATCAGGGCTGCATCCTCTCTTCTACCATATTTAACTATGCAATAGAGTGGATAATGGACATCGCTTGTCAGCACTAAAGAAGTGCAAATTCCTTTTAGCGAGAATTGGACTCAAAATCAATGTAAATTATTTAGAGTATTTTCGTCTTACATACAAGAAACAAATAAAATGCCTCTTTTTTATGAATTTATTGCCGGTTGAGGGATTGCTGGTTTTAAATATGTTGGGTCCACTCTATTACCAAATGGTCATGCAAAAGAAGACCACTGCAGTTAGAAATCACCATATAAACGAAAGTCTAGTCGCGATTTATTCGATTTTACTATACGGCTCTGAGACATTGCCAGTGAGAGTGGACGATATTAAGAAGTTATCTGCCTTTGTCTAAGGTATCTAAGGTACATTTTACGGATTTGCCGAGTGGATAAAATATCGTATCCATCTTTGCTAAACTATCATTTGTATTAATAAAGTATAATAATAATGTTAATAATATTATAACAGAGCCTTCGCTGGTTAAGGCACGTTCTGCGTTGCCCACCACAGGAGTTGACGCATTTCGTTACTTGTTGAACCCTGTGATGGTTGTCGTCAAAAGCGAGGAGGGCCAATCAAGACCTGGACTGATACAGTACAAATATTTTGAACTTATAGGACCAGCGATATATGGACTCAGACGATGGAAAAAGGAATGGCTTCTATTAGCGATGGCGTCGGACCGAGCAGCTCGGAGACGTCTTATCCTTATAACCAGCGGAACCAGCCTAATCAGTAATGATGAGAGCTGTGACATTGTGACAGAAGAATAAAATAATAATAACAAAGTGACAATAATAATAATAAAATAGTTACAATAATAAAACAATAGTAACAATAATCATTAAAAATGGCAGAAGCAATTCGCTTCACTCAGCAAATAGCAAAGTGGCCACGATGGAATGGATTCTCGTTGTTTAACTGGAGTAAACTATCACTAAATGTGAAATTCGGGTGATACTGGCGATAGTTAAGAATTATAAAAAAAACCGTGCCAGAAATCAAAAATGATTTTCAATAATTCGATTATATGAATTTTATAAAAATATCTTTAATATTTCAACATTAAATTTGTTAAGTGATTACGCAATCAGTTAAAACTTATTGAAACTTAAATTTCGATAAATAAATAAATCGATGGATTCTTTGTTTTTCCCTCGAGGTTAATCAATTCATTCAGTGATTTTCATTTTCGTTATTTTTTTCTTTAAACGAAATATGTCGGCTAAACAACGTCAAAAACCAACTGTTTCGCTTTTGTTTCTCCTTAAAATGCGACAACTTCAATTTTTCTTTCACTCAGCAAATTTACTCGTAAGATTTTACCTGAAAAGTAGGAATATTTTTAAAAAATGGCTGAGAGTCGAATGAACAGCGGCCTCAGATTCGAGAGGGATCGACTGTTGGTGGGGTTCGACCTCCTACGCCGTTTGTGTGCACCAAAAAAATTCGTGTGCTGCTGGCCACCACCCAACTGCAGTTCCATCGCCAGACGATTCCATGCAAAAAATTTCTGACCTAAAATGCATTTGAGCGGGAAATAATAAGCGTAAACCACTTAGTGTTCGCTGTCTCCGCTCAATCTGTTTATTTTCACACGTTATGTTATAAATATTTCTATTCCTTAATTCATGTGACGAAGTATACAATAAGTGCTGAGTAATGTTTAGCTGTTGTCCAACATTTCTCTACATTAATTCACTTTGGTAATTTCTGGAATGTTCTTCAGGTATCGATTTAATAAGAAATCTCTTATCTTCTACAAAAATGAATTTGTCCTTAGTTAAATCCTGGTGACTAGAAACCCACCCATACTTCTATTCTCAAATAATTCTACGGCGAATGGGTCCAGCAAATCTCAGTCGACGTCCGCATAATATCCCTAACTCCGTCGTACATAAATATACGAACTGTCTCGGACTAATAACAATATTTAAAAGATGATATTAACAATATTAAAACAAAAAGCATCAATAATATTGAAGGACGTGTAAGTTTTCGACCTTCAACGACTGCTCCCACTCACTGCTATAATTTAAAAAAATAGAGCAAACGTCAACCCTGAAGCTAACTGTAACTGTAACTAACCGTAGCTAAGTCAGAAGGCTTATGGATGTAAGGAGCTAGGTGACAATCATCCACAGAAAAATTTCGTATGAATATTGCTTGTCGGAAATCCATCTTCCTGAATCAATAATACCAGACTCGGATAAGAACTACTGATTATATCACTTAATGATAATTCAGGGAGAAGTGGAGTCGCGATTCATCCACAGCACCATTAGTTCTATATGGAATATAAAATTTTATTGGCTTACTTATGTCCACTTTGAAGGGAAGTTTTACAATATTTCGATCATCCGTGCTTACGGTGTGCATAAATAATCTGAATAAAAATAGACTCGACCTTAGCTTATCAATAGCCTTTCCCGAAAAACGACATCATAATCACTGATGACTGGAATGCGTACATAGGACATAAGGCTATCTCAGTATTTTCTGCGGTGGGCAAATACGACACTCGGTGTACTAACGGAATCTTCTCCGTCTTTAAAAGAAGCATGGGCTTTTTGCTATCAATGAATGCTTTCAGTACTGCAGAAAATATCTAGGTATATGGGAATTGCCAGATAATGGACACTCGAAACAGATCGACTACATTTTGATTAGTGACTGATGGAAAAGTTCTGTACTAGATAGACGAACATATCACGCAGCCGAAACATGCAACCTTTCTGGATCGTATTATATCATGGTTAGAACCTTAGAACCTTAAGCTGACGTAATTCTGAAAAATAGTTTAAGGCTTTAGCAACAACGACTCCTGCCTCCATGAATCAGCAAAATTCGCTCCAGAACAGGCGATTCGGAAGAAGGCAAGCTGGAATCCAGTGTGCGTGTATTTATAGAGAATGTATAGAAATTGAATCCAGTGTGTGTGTGTATGTATATGGAGACCTTTTAAAATACTCACTGGTATCAAAATGCCCTATAGTTTTCAGCTATGCGATGGACTAGATTATGGACTCCACTCAAGAGGCATTTACTTCAGTCTAAAGCATAGTATCCTGAACCTTGAATACGCTAATATTAGTCTTTTCGCTGACAGTTACGAGAAACTATAAAAAACGACAGCAGCATCATAAACTGGTTTTCATATCAATGTAAATAAAGGAAAGTTCTTTTCATTTTATAAACCAGCTGATAAGGTCGCAATTTATTTATATATCACCGCAGAACTGTCAAATTCTCGAATCCTCATCCATACTTAATGGTCAAACAAAGGATAAAGTTTCAGCTCGGATGGCTGAAACCAGAAGTATTTTTTTCATCTGGCGAAACGTTCCTCTAGGATCGCTACAAAATCAGCTTTGGTTTTGCGAAACTCGCTCAATGAGATCGGAAGATATCAGGAAGTTATCTACCTTTAACCATTCTTGTCTGAAACCCGCCAATTGGTCAAAGTCCTATTATTTGACTGCATCCACCTTTATTCGAGTACCATACTCGAGCAATTCCGTCAACTGCGCTGATTTCCATGTCATTCACCACAGAAATTGATGCATATCTCGTTTCTTTCTAAACCTTGCAATCAATAAAGGTAATAAAGGCAAGGAGAATTACCTGGATCGATGCGATTAGATACACATAGATGACCCAGCGATATACGGGCTTAGACGGTAGAAAAAGGATTGGCTTCAGTTATTTTCAGGAATGACAATGGATCGGGAACTTAGGAAATGTCAGTGAAGTAAGTCAAACTAATAATGGTAAGAATCATAAGAGAAAAATTTCCTTTATTCAAACATTTTTTTCAGTAAATTCATTTAAAAAAATTTAATTAAAAATTTAAAGAAACAGTTTTAAGCAAACATCTGAAATATATATTAGCATGATGAGAACACGGAATCCAACAAAAACCTTAATTTCGACTTAAAATTTCTTCCATGAATCGCCATTTTTTTCGTAAATTTATAAATAAACTTTAATATATATGAATAAACATTTAACAAACAAGGAAAGTGGAAGGAAGGAATTTATAAGATTTTTGCAAGAGATCATATATATTGATTTTTAAATAAAAAAAACTTGTCACAAAAGGTGTAAAGCGCTTCTTTGCCACAGGGGGAGTCTCGATTCTGCAAAAATTTAACACCGCTGACTGATTTATTTTTTGGAAGGACCGAGAAATCATTTGGAATTAATGTCCGATAAATATCTGCAAATATCTACAAAAATTACAATATTTCTACAGTTACCAATAAAAAACTATTTCTTATTATTTCCTCCTCGCTTTCGCTTCCATCCTTCAGAAGGTAAAGTAAAAGTTATATGAAGGCGATCAAGAATTTCTATCAAAGCTTTCTTGGGAATCTTTGATACCACCGAATTTGCACCAGAAAGATGACCACACAATTCGTCCTTTAAAAAAAATGTTTTAATAAATAAACTGAAAATTACAAATTAAGGTATAAGTCAGAAAAGTGGTTAACTTCTTCCTAATAGAATTTGCAAAACATTTAAGCCAACAACGGTGGGATAAAAAAAATTGAAAATTTTTTCCCACAAAAATAAAAAACTATCCTAAAAAAAAGTATGTAGAATGCTTCCAAATGTGGGGAAATAAAGCGACTAACGAAAGATATGGGATTCAGTCCAAGCAAACTGTTGTAAAGATCCTTATTGTTCCCATTACGAAGCCAATTTAAAAAAGCTCTTTGCATTCCGTCCAAATCCTTTAATAATAATTTGTTACATATATAGCCATCAAAAAATTTTTCGCTTTTTGTTTTATTTCGCTTTGTCGTTTATTTTAAGAGATTACAACTTTATAAAAATATAAAATCAATATTTTTATTTGAAATAAATGAAACACTTTTGCCAACATGACATCTTTCCATTTGCATAAAACTTAAGGCTTCCTGAAAGTTAGAGTACATTCAGTTCTGGAATATATTTTTCATGTCCTATTTTCGAAAATACTTCTCGTTTAAAGAAGTTGTCGAGGGAGTAAATTAAAAATCTATTGGTGAAAGGTTAGCGGAATAAGGTCTGGATGATAGAAGACTTCGGAATTCAACTCGGCAAAATTTTGTAAATCTGGTATTATCATCCAAAATGACAATACTTTTTTGACAAAATGACAATAAAATGACAAAAGCAGGGTTAATATATTTGTAGTTTCTATCAACTATTTCCAATTCTTTACTGGAAGACTAATCGATGCACCAGGTTTTCAAAATTTCAAGCAGATCAATAACAATGATCTAATCTTCAAATAAAGGTTCAACCTTGGCAGGAATTGAGAGAGTTCATTCTTGTCCTCCAGCAAGTATATCGATCTTTTCTTACCTACTGTCACATCCATTTTTCGTCATAAATAAATACCTATCCAAAAAAAGATCGTCTTTTTCGTTTTTTAAAGATCATCTTAGCAGTGATACAACGTCAAATGTATTCTTATGCTCGATCAATTCCTCATTGCAAGCAAGTGATTTTACACAGTGCAATAAGGAACGCTAAATCTTGCGTTAAAACTGCGAGAGCGAGTCTTTCTGCGTTTAACCTTCAGGAATTCATTTGCAGAAATTTAAGGCCTAGGGCAATTTCGAGGACTATATTCCCGCACTTTAATTTCATAAACCATTGTTCTATTGTTCGTTCTTTAGGAATAGTGTCACCAAAACTGTTTGTATATCGAGCTGCTTGCGTCACTGAATGCCCCAATTTAAACTCAGAAGACCATGCCATTTTATGCGATTACCCAAAAAACTAGTAACACCTAAAGCTTCTATAATACAAAGAAACAAGAAGTCATGGCAAGCATAGCGATATATAACTTGTTAGCCAATGTGGCAAAAATAAAATAAAAAATATTTCGTTCCAATGCAATAAAAAATCGACGACCCACATTTATATTATAGAAAAGCAATCAATCATTAATTTATAAAATGAAACAAATACTTTAGGAAGTATGGCAATATAATCATCAATATATGATTCTTCTGCAATTTCATCCGTATCTAAATTTTTATACAATATTTCTTCAAAAACTGTTTCGTCATTTATTTGTCCACTTGCTTTCCTTATAAGCACTGATTCATTAATTACTGCAAAAACTTCAAGGTTACAAAATATAAAAAAATATGAAAGACAGTAACAATATTACTTACATGGGTGAATTCCATCATAAATTCTTTGCAGCATGGCAATTGCGGGCTTTCTTCCCAGTGGCCGAACGCCATATTTAGCAAGTTCACGCTTTAAACCAAATGTTATTTATTTCCATGAAAGATAGGTATAAAAAAACTAACTTAAATTAAACATTTCTTTTTTTTCGATATTTAGTAGTGATATTTTCGATGTTAAAATCAATTTCTCAAGTCATGATTATTTCGAAGAAATTTTTTTAAAATTTTTTTGAAAAAATATTCTTAAAAAAAATATCCCGAAGCGATCTGTAAAAAAATAATTAATAGTTTATTAATAGCAACTAATAATTTTAAAAATTTAAAAATAAAATAAATTATTATAAACTTTAATCAAACTTTAAAAAATAAAATGTTAAAAATTTGAAAATTTTAAGGCTTAAAACTTCAAAAGCACAAGAAATATTAAAAAAAAACGACTGAAATTTGAGAAAAATATCTACCCAAAAATTGAGGAATGATACATCCAAACAAAAGAAATTAGCTCTCGGCTAGCATTAGATGAAAGTATAATTAATTTCAAAATTTTCTATTCGAATGAATTAAATTTTCAAATTTTCAAAAAAAATTAACCTTGAGTTCTGTATCAGTCATTTGATTATATTTTGGTTGAGGAGTTATGCTACATGTTTTCAAAATTTTCACATTAGAATCTAATAATTTTTTTAAACGTCTTGATATCGATTTCGATTTTTCGATTGGTGTTGAAAAATGCTGCATCTCGGATTGAAACAATGAAAGAAAAGATTGGTCAATTCGACAAGAACGAGAACAAAACTGCTCAAAATCAATCTCATCTTCAACTGATTCCAGTTCTTCTGCATTTGAAAGATGATTTATTGTTTCCTTTACAGATGTAGATGATTGAGCAAAAAGTTCCAATGAGGCATTGACAGAATTGGGAGAAAAAGAGCCCAAACAGGTAGACTTAGATTTTGCACTTTTATATTCGGCGCCAGTTGATATTCCATCCTCCTGAGAATCTTCTGTAAATACTTTTAGTTTCGTAAGTTGCAAACCAGTCTCACAATCAACATCTGATGCATTATGTTTTTCACCATCCGAGAGAATAAAAATATCATTTTCGTCACTTGTAGGAATTTTACCGTGGTCTAAAATTTTTGAACTAGTACTTTGTGAAACCGGTGCTAAAGGGAAATTAGTTTCACAATTACAATTGTGGAATTTTTCGTAAGATATATTAGGATTACGAGCACAAAGATTATCAGTGACAGAATCATCAAGCAGAATGATTGATTCGTTTGAAGAACTTCTTCGTATTACATTATCTGGTTTTGTTTCTAACTCAAAATCTCCATGAATTTCTGACTTATAGTGCCAAGGAATGGTGCTCTTCCGCGAAGAATTATCGACAAGCGAGGTATTATCTTTATCTTCAACAGGAATCGACGATGCCTTATTTGTATAGGCAGATGAATTTTCATTTGTATAGGCCTTATTTGTATAGGCAGATGAATTTTCATTCACAGCATAAATATCAGAGATTTGTCGATCATAATCAGAACTGCATGAATTAGGTAAGCAGAGTGATTTCAAGCCTTCCGGGCCGTATTTTTTAGCAAGATCAAAAATTTCCTTTTTTTCTTTTTCAGTCCATTCAATGGCTGAAGAATATAAGAATCTGACATAACATCTGAAAGAAAGATTAAGATAAAACTACGAAACAAATAAAACAATATGCAAATAAAACAAAAAAGGCTGAAAATTTTTAATATGCAAGGGGAACCTTAAAGCAACAATGGTGAAGTCTTGTAAAAGAAGAACGCCATCATCGCAAACTAACTAAAAATTATAAATTTAATGTTTTCATGCAAAAATATAAAGAACAAAATCAAAAGAAATAAGGATTATAAAATACCTCCAATAAACTTGGTGCTCTCGCAGCCAAAATAAATTTATGAATTGTTATTGTTTCATTTTCAAGAGAAAATATAGTGATATCACCAACCGTAAAGCTAAAACGATACAGATCATCACTCAATCGTTCCAACCGCTTCAACTAAAATTAAATTCAACTAAAAATTTTTCAAAAAAATCATGGAAAATACGTGGAAGAAATATACCTTATTGAAACACTGACTGATATCATCCATAAAAAAATTTCTGCGCTTATTTCTGCGTTCAGTAACCGATTGTAAATTGTCTTTTTTCTTCATTTTAAATTTACGCAAGAAATTCTCCTATATACATTAAATAATTTAATACATTAAATACATTATTAAAAAAACATAAAAGGAAGAATACATTAAAATAACAAAATACGAGGAAAATGAACAACAAAAAAAGTTTACTATTGCAAAGAAAGAAGCAAAAACCTGGATTATATCAAATGTAGAACATTTGCAAGAGCGGGGTTCCAATTCGACAAAAGAGAATGATCCAGCATTTTGCTGCCCTGATCTTTCTACATGTTTCTCAAACATAAATTCATTTGTTCTTTCACTACTAAAAATAATATAAATGTTTCTAATTTAAATAAAATTTAAAATAAGAAAAAATTAACTACATTGTCGTCGAAACTTTTACTCAAGAGTTAAGAATTACTTGACATTATTAAAAGAAGTAATACTGGCTGAAAGTGCTGAAGCCATGTCCAACTGTTCTTTAAATAGTGATTTTGGTTCCTCTTTTAAACTTCTTTTGCTTCTCTTCAATTCCAATTCCGGTTCGTCCATTCTAAATATTGCAGAATTTGTTGATGGAAATCTGCTTATTAATAAAATTTAATAAAAATTGAAAAATCTTTTAAAATAGCAAAAAAGAATAGTGCCATTTACTTCGTATGTGCGATACCACTGCGTTTTTTTATTTCAGCAACTTTAGTTTGCGCTTCTATTAATGAAAGAAGTTTTGAACTGCTTATTTCGTTTTCTCGACCGCATTTTTTCACATGTGCAATTCGATACTAAATTTGATAAGTAGACTAAATAAATGATATAATATAATTATAGAATTAATGGTAACGGCAATAATGGCAATAAAAATAATGATATAAAGGCAACGATGATAAAAATAATAATAGATAATAAAGATAATAATAAATAAAAAATGAACAAAAATAATCAAACACAACTAAAAATTTAATTAAAAAAAGTAACAGGCCCAGGAGGAAGAGGCTTGCCACAAAGTGGACAATCTATTGTCTTGTACCATTCGCGTTTTTGCTTTTCGACTTTTGTTTTAGCCTCCTGTTGATCAAGACAATTATTAATATGCAATGAACGCCTTAATTCGTCCAATTTTTCCAAATTCTAAACTAAATGATTAATAAATTAATTAAAGAATTAAAATACATCTTTAAAATATTTTTCACAGAAATAATATAAAATAATCAGATTAAATAAGGTATTCCAAACGCGAGAAAAATCAACTTAATCCAAATGTTTTTTAACCGATTAAACGCCTATAAAAGCACAAAAAGGGTTGCAAATCTGAAAAAGTTTAAAATCGAGAAATAAATGAAAAAACTGATAAAAATTGAAACGAAAAGACTGAAATTATAAATAACTATCCACAGAAACATGCACAGTTCAGCTCTGTCATCGACAGAAGTAAACCTGTCACCAAAGATTTGCGTGGTGAAAGAAGTTAACCAAGGGACTTCTCTATGATGCAGTCAGCAGCCAACGATTTAAGGCTAACCATGAAATGGTGAACGTTAAGTGTTTGCTCGTTTACTTTCGCGACAGAAGCACCGAGAAAATAATTTTAAAAAGCGAATAAAAATCAAAGAAATCTTACCTTATTACAGATAAAACATAATTTTTGATGGGAATTCGGCAATAAACAATCGCTTTCTATTGCAATTTTCGTTGAAAAGATATTCGATTTACTAAAATTTTTCTCTTCTAAATCCAAACTTCAATCCTTAAAAATCGGATTTATTCAATCTCCCCTTATTTTCCCTTAAATTCCCTTCCCTTATTTCCCCTTATTTTTCCTTAAATTCCCTTTCCTTATTTCCCCTTATTTTCTCTTAAATTCCCTTCCCTTATTTCCCCTTATTTTCTCTTAAATTCCCTTCCCTTATTTCCCCTTATTTTCCCTTCAATTCCCTTCCCTTATTTCCCCTTATTTTCCCTTAAATTCCCTTCCTTCATTTCCCCTTATTTTTCATTTCAGGAAAATAAGCTTTAAAAAAAATGAATAAAAGAAATTTTAAAAATAATTCAATCGTTGGGTTTTTCAAAAATTTCGATGAAAAAAATTAGATTTTTCAACACAAAATTTGCAGAGAAATTCGCCACAAAATAATAAAAAATTAGAAGAGAATTTTAAGTTAAAATTAAAGGAAAAAAAGCAAAAAAAACTAAAAGTTGAAAAAGGGAAGGAAAAAATATATTCGTTTGGAATGTACGAATGCAATAGATTTTATAATTCAAAAGTAATTTCACAACCTCCGAACGAACGATTTCCTTGCGGCCAACGACTCGGCGACAAAATCCGAGTCGTCCATCCTCAGAAACCAAGAATAGCCGAGCAATAAAAATTGAAGCGAAATGAAAATTGTGGGAAATACAGCAATTCTTCCATATTTTGCGGCCCACGTTTCAAATGTCCGCGGCCCGCATAATTGCAAAATCGCTTTTATAGAACTGATTGTGTTGGCGCAATTGAGCGTAGCGCTTGTTGTAAGTCCGCGAAAATTATTTGTCAGGTGTGGTCAGATGTAGATGTGGTCTTCGTGGAAGTCGCTCATAATCATAGTCACGCACAATCGACGGTGCGTTTGAACGTGCGCTTAATATAAGCCTGCGGACTTCCCGAACTTCGAGAGTTGATCTAATCTACTAAAAGTTTTCTCCAGAGAAGTTTCCTTTAGCTTACAATATTAGAAATATTAGAAATTACTTATAGTTTTATTAATTAAATTTGAAAAATTTTTTCAGTTTTTTAGGCTATGTAAGCATATTTATTAATTTAGAAAAGGCCCGTAAAATCTTAGTGCATTTTCGAAATAATTTTGGCGTGGAGGATCCTTTGAAATGGTCCACAGGGGCTTTGTAGCATACTTTGAGAACTACTGAAATAAAGCACATTAAGCGTAAAATGGCATAAATCTAGCAAATTACAAATTCAGTCGCATTGGTTTTTGAATGAACGATTTTTAAGGCGATGAAAAAAGCAATAATATTCTCTCAAATAACAAAAATCATTTCTCAAAAATCAACCGCAAACTTTTAATTTAAACGAAAAGTTAAATTTCCATGCAATAAAACATTTTGAGAACGATTTTGTCATATTTTCTGCAGTTTGCTCCAATAACAACTTTATTATTATAGAAGAAGGGCACCGAATAGCTGTTGCAATCATTTCGAGCTCGGAGCCGATTCCTCAGGAATAAATGTTTTATGAAAAATTCTAGGGAAAATCCGAGTGATCCGAGCCCACCTACACTTTGCATCATTGCCAGTGAAGGTCTATCTAATGGTGAGTGCTAACTGAAGAAAAATTCCGTGGGAAATTTTTTTAAAAATTTTCGATAATAAAGAAGTATGAAATGCACTTGCACTCACATCTTAAATTTCATCAAAAAATTCGTCAAAAATGAAAAAAAAAACAAGTAAAAATTTAAAAAAACCGTTGGAGCAAATTTTTATTTTATTTTTCAAAGAAATTATTAATAAGTAAGCAAATTTTGTCTCTAACCACAAAACAATTACAATTTTTTCAATAATTTTGAATAAATTAAAATTGATTTTAGCATTTATTGAAATTTTAATTATTATTTGAATTTTTTATTTTAATTACTAAAATTAATTTTATATTTTGATTTGAATTTTGATATATTAATTTTAATTCATAAATGATAATGATAATCGAAAATTCTTGACAAAGAATTTTTTGAATCACTTTAAATTCGAAAGAGAAATTTTTCTACTGAATTTTTTCAAGTTTTCTTTAAACTAATTTTCCAACTAAATTTAATTTTTTTAATTTTTATTAACTCAACTGTTTCATTTTTTTCAGAATAAATTTAAGCTGAAAACTTTAGAATTCTGTTTCATCTTTTCCACAATTTTCTTAGATTAAAAGTTGATTTAAAATTCTGAAAAACGGGATATTTTATGAATAAAATTAGCTAAAATATTCAATGACTTAACGTCAGTAACGTCTGCTAAAATACCATCGTCAGAAATCATTTGGTAGATAGATATATTCAATATCCAGGTGACTATGAACAGCTGATGCTTAGCTTTACTATTGCACGAACTAAAGCTCTAACTAACTATATGCAATTATAAACTTCTCCTACTAAGCCAAATTTTAATTATTAAAATATAAAAAGAAATATTTATCTACTTATTTGCTTCCATTATTTCTTCCTTCCCCTATTTTCCTTTCTCTTCCAATTTTTAATCCAATTAATTCTTCATAATCTTCTTCATTGAAGGGTTTTTACCATATTTTTTAATTAACTGGATTTTCTGCGTTAATGTTGACCCCGATTTTTGTCAATTTTTTGAATAAATTGAATGATATCGTAATATTAACATTTAAACGACAGAAAATTAAAATTTCTCAGTTCAACAAAATTTAATCAATGAAAGGCATTCAGGATTCCTTTTTCTTCAAGAAATCTTTGGATAAAAACGATAATAAATATATCGAGAAAATTTATGAGGAAATTTTTGATCATTTCAAGAGCATTTATTTATGAAAATGGCTGCTTTTTATGTAAGTAACGATGATGATGCGGACGATGATTCCGACTCAGCGAGTGATTCCAGTTATACTATACGGAGAAGAAGCGCTACTGTATCACCTGCTGCCAAAAAACGATATCGCCATTCCTCTAAAACTAGGTAAGTCATCAGTTAATTCGAAAAAACGAATAATTTTGTCGAAGAAGGGAATTTAAATTAAGTGGTGTTCTGGTTCTACTGGTTTATTTTCGCTGCTATTTTCGTTATTTGTGGGAATAGAAGTCAATCTTCACACACTTCTTCAGCAATTTCTCAATGAAAGACTCAATCCTGATATCTCAGATTCAAGGACGAAAGCTTGATGATAAGCTCAGTAACATCCAGTGCCGCTTGTCTATGGCTACCTTGCCAGGAAAAAAGCAATAATTTGAATAAAAAATAAACAAAAATTTAGTAAAAATATAAGTTAAAAGGAATAAATAAAATAAATATAAGAAGTATAAACTTAATTTCCACAAAAATAAAATTTAAAAAAAAGAGATCAAGAAATGAGTACCTTTAAATATGAATAATTTTGGATTTTCGGTGATACTGAATATCGCATTATATTCTCCCATATTCTCTCATAATATTATCATTTATTCGTTTGATAAGGTGCTATTAAGCATAGCAAATAATGTTTTAAATATGCAGGAAAATGATAGATCTTGAAAAAAATTTTAAAAAAACGACATTTTTGGTTATAGGAAAGATAAGAAAAGTAGAAAAAGTAGAAAAAACCGGCAAATGAGTTCAAGAAGAAATTTAAAAATTTGAGGCGAATTTCGCTTGAAGAAGAGAAAATTTTTTCAGAAGACGATCCGATGTAAACCTTAATTTATCGAACAAAAATTCCTTCTTGCAGCATCATCCAACAGGTAATCTATGTTTGCTCAATTTTTTCGAAGTCCGAGCAAAAGTGCTTATAGTCGTTCGAATAGAAATTTAGTAGTAATTTAGTAATAGAAATTTCTTATTCCCCCATAATATTAACTGTTATCTCAATCGGAATCTGGAGATTGCAGATTGGTTGATGGTGCGCAGGTTTCAAAGGCATCTCTGAACTTATGCAAGAAAAAATGTCTTTTAACATAGCTTTCAACCTCCCGTCTCCTCCATTTATGCTTATGACTTAATGAGCCAAGATTTTATATCATATTAGTTTTCCATGGTGCAATGATGTATACATTCAAAAAATTACTGGAGCAAATCCGCAAACTTCACCAAACTTCCGAAAGATTCCATAGCGTAAAAGGTCAAGAGTTTTGATAGTGTCTAATGAAAATGTGCACCATAACTTAAAAGACATGAAAGTGGTGCGTAGATAATCTTGCAGTTTCTTTTACTTTTGTAAGAAGTAAGCTTATCATCAGAAAACTTGTGGGACCAACGACCCAATTTAATTCCTATAATGTTTCTAACCTTACTAACGGCCAGTTGAGCATGCTTAATCAGAAATGGTGATTTGAGCGCTAATCATTTATTGCCACTTGTGTGGAGTCACATTAAAACATGAACATTTTATTGGTAAAAGCTAAAAATATTTATGCAAAATGTTCAATATAAATTTAAATGTTCAATATAAATATATATTTCCTAATCCTTTTTTTATTTTTAGAAAAAAATGAGCGTTCAACAAAGTTAAGGAAAACGAGTAGTATGCCAAGTGTTGAAAATTGCCAAAAGGCTTGATTTTTAAATTTTCTGTTTTTTATTTTATTTTTCCAAGGATTATCTTTACTTGTTAGAACGCAATAGGTAAAGTAATAACGCAATAGGAAAAGAAATACCAGTGATTTGTTTCTTCGGCGAAGGTCAGATTCTATTTCCATTCTTTAATGGTAGTAAACCTGTTAGTAAAAATTTTGGGTTGTGCTGTGTGCTCAACATTTCTTCTATCCACAAGTAACTATCCGATAAATGATTAATGATTTTACCAAACTGAAAATGATGCAATTAGATTGCCACCGAGAGTCAAAAAATGGGTTGCTTGAATTACCATTTGATTTTATTTTATTTTAGTATATAAAGCACATTAAAAAACAGGTTTTTCAGAAGAATTATGCGAAATTTTAGGCACATGTCGAAGCGATACGAAAATTGATCAATTCATTTCCTATCCAAGCATCGCCCTCCGATCAAAATCAAAATGATAATGTGTGTTCATTAATTATTTACCATTTTAATTTCTATAATCGTGGTACAATATTTTTTAAATTAATATAAATTATGAAATTTTTCATGGAATTTCACTGGCAAATAATATTTGCCGTCTACTTTTTTTTAGACGACAATAATACGGTAGTAATTATTTATAGGCATGGCATGATGAAGCTGAAAATATGCCGGAACTTGTTTCTGACAGTGATGTGGATATAATTCAAACAGATATTGAAGAGTTGCGTGATGCTGCGAAAAGTATCCAATCATTGAAAAGGGTTCTTAAAATCCCCTCTGAAATAGCCACAAAAGGTTAGAATACAGGTATTAAAAAATTAAAAATTCTCAGTGACGATTCAGGGATTTTTACTTAGTCCGTAATGAAATTAACTTCTATTGGCTAAATTTTCAGGAATTTCGAATAATATACCTGGAACGGGAAGTATTCGATGTTCCGGAATTGCTTCAAGAATTGGTGGACATCCGCGTGGTGTTATTCAGTTTCTTCCATCAGTTAAACAACGACAAATATTACCGGCCTTAGATACATATCGATGGAATAAAAATAACAATGATCTGGTCATTGCAAAAAAAAATATATTTCGACGAAAAACTTCACTTCCTGAAACATATCTAACATTTAGTCAAGTCAGTTTATATAATATAAAACGAAGAGGCTTATAATATTACTTGGATCTGTGAAAAAAATGCCATTTAAAATTGAATATTATAAAAAAAAAAATCTCTTTCTCTCCTAGGTGGAAGAATTCTAAACCAAAAGTCTTCGACCAGCGACCTGATAGATTAAGCGCAGTTCAGCGCAGTATCTAAAGTCCTTATTTCCTACCAGTGCGTCCTGGAATCTGCTGAAATTTTCTAGTTTAGAAATCACAGTTCCAAATGCTCTAATTAGATTCTCTTTCAGCCCTTCGTATCATTTGATATCTTCGCCCAATTATTTTCCACGATTATTTTCTGAAGAATCTCTGTCTTAGGAAAATCTAGACCATATATTAAGCAGATATTTCTAGATGATGTCAGCTACTATTGCCTTTTATTGCTCCTGCTTTCTTTAACCACTGGTAAGATTTCACAGTGTCAGCTATCTGCCATCTCAGCTATCTGCCGGTGGTGCAATCCATGGGGATCCTTTCTTTCCCCATGGTACTTCCTGTGCTTGATCATTTTCCAGTTCATTATTCGGTGCCATTTTGCTGGTTATATCTGAATAACCTGAATAACCTGAATATATCTTCGAATTTCAAGACAATGGCTTTCATACTCCACCCGCTTTCTTTCCGGCTGGTATTCAGCCAATGGGATACAAATATTGGAATTGGGGTGCAAATTTCATTATGAGGAATTTCCTGGTCTTTATAATATCAACCTCCATATCTTCTTCGTTTATCCATCTTACATATTTTTGTGGCATGGGTTTTTTTCCATCGAATTAGCTTCTCAAAGTGTGCCTTATTCTTTGGTGGTATTCGGATATTCTTTCTTCTTTCTTCGTTGTGGTTCAGTATGCAAGGTACCTGTGGCTCTTTTGTGTATCATATATCATAATTCCACCCACTGGTAATTCCATCTTACTAATCCTATAATCCTAAATTAATATCAAAAAATACGTGAGCAAAATTTCGCTATAAAAGAAAAGTATTCGTACACATACCCTTTTCTCTGTAGGATAAGTCGATAGATAAAAATGAAGAGATAAACTTAAGAGACAAATTTCACCTGCCTTAATCAGTACGCAATTTCAGCCTTTAAATTATGTATATATATATATATATATATATATATGATAATAATAATATATAATTGAATATGTTTGCCCATGTAAAGTTTATCATAATATCTCTTTTAACGACAGGTTGTCTTGGTTCCACAACTCTTAGCACAATCCCAGTAATCCATTTGCCATCTGATATTCCTGGTTCCTCAACATTTGATGCGCCTTATTCGGGTGACATCAGAGCCGGCATAACTCTAGTTGCGATATTCTCATGTTTGAAATAGGGCAGGTAAACAAGTAAACAGCATTAGGACGCTGGCTGCTGGAAATATAAAGGTCTTTTGGTAATTCGAGCCAAAGTGTTGTCTCCACAATCTACGTCAATCGCTTGCCCACCGTCAACCACTAGACTACAGAAACTCTTGGTAATCTCATTGATTAAATAAGTTAAAATTGTTTAGAATATATTTTGAGTTAGATCTTGAGTTAAAATTTTCTTTGTATATTTATAGGTACACAATGCAGATGACTTGATAAATCGAACTGGCAGTGCAAGGTTCGTGTGATACGAGTTTTTTTCCAGTAAAATTTGCCATTCTTAGTTTAGTTGACTCTTTGCTGATTTCATTTGAGGATAGCAAAAGAATGTCTACTACCACCCGAACATCACTTTTGATTGAGGTTTTTACTTCCTTCAAATGGAAGTTACGATGTATCCTTCATTTAAAATATTTAAAGTGATTGATAGTCTGAATCACCGATTCTCCTAAAATAATGAAAAAATTTCCATTTAAAAAATGGAAAACACTTCTTATTGCAGCATTTTCTGATTTGGTTTGCGGTATTAACTAAGATAATACCAGAGCACTTGGTTTTAGAAATACAATAGGATTAGCATCATCGGGATTTCATAATTTCATCCCTGTCAAATAGGATGGAATTTATGGTGCCTTCATCTTACTGGAGGCGTTATAAGACCACTCGATCACCAGTTCAAGTCAATTCAGGATTCAGCATTATCGATTTATTTAATACCATAATTATAGGCAGTTAAGCTCATTTTTTAATTTGTACTTATTTATTTGTAGAACAAGTCGCCGACAATTAAGAAATGACGATGATAAGGATTTATTCACTGTAAATAATCCGGAACTGTTGCAATCAAAAGGTGTTAATTCATTGGCTGGTTTTAATAGATTCTCTAAATTATTAGATTCGCTTCGTTCAAACGATCAAAATTCATCGGAAAATCAGTTTTCTAGATCATGGTATCTTTTTTGCGAACTTTTATTAATGGCACCAACTTGAGCAATGTTTAATTTGTTTTTCATTGGAAAGGCGACGTGAGCCAATAAAATATTTTCACGTTTATATTTAAGGCAATTTTGACGGAATTTTTTTAAGGTGGTACAGAGGATTTGAGAGGAGTTGAAAAAACTGAAAGTTTGATTGGCATAATAAAATAAAAAGTGAATTTTGCAAAAATTGAAAAATATTTATATGAGATTAAAAAGCACAATAGAGCAAACATTATAAAAACAGCACACCATAAAACGGCACAACATTCAATAATGTGATAAAAAACGGCAGACTAGGCTTCACAAGTAGATAATTGCTAAATAACTGATTAATGCGCATTATTTCTGGTTGCTTCACTTACTAGAAATGTAAGGAAATGTAAGAAGTTTTTACCAGGAAGTAGATGGGTTTCGCCAGCACCATTCGAAATAATTTTGGCAATCTACTTCGGTCGAGAGCTGAAGTCGAACTCTTGCATCGCTATATCATAATGAGCTATATGTCCATTTTACTATCCTGCTCTACTTTTATAAAATACCAATGTTAAGGAAACCATCAGAACCCATTGAACTACATCAGTCGCTTTTACAAGCTGATTTGTTATTATGGAGGAAACGATCTCGAGCTTCTTTACGGCGGCATAACGACATACGAAACATGGCTATACGGGAATTTCATGACACTGAAAAAAATTTCGTTGAAAGCCTTGAATATCTTGTACAGGTTTCTTCGATTTTTTCCCGTTATTTATTTCGTTTTTTTATTTTTTCTTGAATATGGACATAAAGATTGGATAGATAAAATAAATAAGTGGTTAGGCTTATTAGTAACCATTTCCCATTAGATTAGCTCCACTGGCTATTACTACTGTTGGAAATTCGTGCCAAGGAGTCTGAGGAAAATTAATATTACAATATTATAGAAATATATGCGACCTCTTCGACAACCTTTAGAATGCATTTTAATCGATGGAGCACTTGCTGATAAAATATTTTACATGGTTCCAGAAATCTTGATTCACCATCAGGTAGTTATCAGATAATTTCCTGGATTCCTTTTGAAATTAAAAATTTCAGAACACCAAATATTTTACATTTTATGAATTCAAAAACATTATCATTAATAATAGGATGAAAACTAATAATTTCAACTAATAATTAATTAACTAATAATTACCAACTAATAATTTCGTTTTTAAAAAAACTACTTCTGAACATTCGAAAAAGATTGTAATATATTGATACACTACGATGCATTTCAGCATTTTCTCGCAGCTTTGAACGATCGTTTGGAAAAATTTCAATCTGACACATGCTTCGGTGATATACTGTTAGCACATGTTGGTTAATTTTCAACATCTTTGGTCACTTTTCTGGTACAATTTTGGTACATTGCATTCCAAAAATAATAGGCTTTCAAAATTAAAGAAGGGAATTATATTTACATACTATGCGACATTTTTTTCATTAAGATCTTAAATTTTTGCTGTCGAATTTTGGCATTTTGCTTGTTCAAAAAATAATTTTTACCAGATGAAGAGAAATTTCGATAAACATTTTAATCGATTCAGCTACCTTATTAAAATGGTAATTAATTTTTTTAAGTTTCGTAAACAATCAATGATAGAGACATATATGGCATTCGTTGATAACTTTACATTAGCCAAACAAGCGATTATTCAAGCAAGGACCAAGCCGTCTTTTGAAAAATATTATATGGTCTGTCGTTTCTGAGTAGTTTGTGGCAAACTTCTTTAGAACATGGTGCATATAAATTTGGAACCGTAAAAAACTTACCAATCCTTTTTTTATCACTTTGTATCATGCTTTTATAGTTTTTTGTGCATAATTGATATTGAGCAAACGTCGAGAAAAATATTCCAGCGTTGTTGCCGAGATCATAAAAACAAAATCGATCTTGATTCTTTGCTTATCTCGCCTATTCAAAGAATTCCCAGATATGAACTTATCATTAAGGTTCACTGTTTTTTTTATATTTCCCAAAATTAGTCCGACAATAATTATTTAAGTTGTTAACCGTTTTTTCTCAAATAATATAGATGTAAAAAAAAGTCCTCCGAGGCCTCTGTACTTAGGAAAAGAAGTATTGGTAAAATACCAGCACCAAGCAAATTTTTTAATGACGGATTTCCGTTGCGAGAATTACTGGAAATGATAATTTAAGCGTACGCTGTTCGCATTAATATAGAATACAAAAATAAATATGCAAAAAAATTTTCAAGAAATTTGACAGAAATATAGATGAATCGCCTAGCCATAAACCGAATCATTCGCAAAGGGAAATCATTAACGGATTTGAGAAAATAGAAGAGTTTTGCATAATAAAAAGCTTGAACTAGAGCATTTTAATCATCTTATTGTTAAGAGCATTATAGCAAATCGTTAAACATACGTCAGTGGAACACTGTGATTACGAAAATCTTTTGCTATCGCAGAAGCATATTCACGAATTAGCAGCAGCAATAAATCGACAAAAAGAAGATAGGGATGAACGAGAACAACGTCTTCGAGAAATCGAAGCCATAGTTGATGGTCTTGATGATGTAAGTGATTACTATATTAGTAATTAAAAACGACTAAGTGGTTAATGGTTACAATTTTACCCTCTATTGACTGCCGGAGCTATTATTGCTTGTCACTCGATAAAAATAAAAATAAAAATTAGACGCCAGCACTATCTGTTTTTTTAATGATAGGCTTACTCTTATCTCAGGCAGAAACCGGTCCCTTTTCAACTCGATGATCTGACCCACTATCCACTCGCATAATCTGCCCCATAATATGAAAACATTAGAAATATCGCTTTACCATATTGCAGTTAGTCTCTACGTCAAGATCATTTAAACGATATGACGTCGTTAATATAGCTGGTCCATCTGGATGGAAGCAACGTTGCCTCTTCTTAATGTCTGATCAAGTCATCGTGACCAGTATTAAAAAGAAATCACCTTCAGGAAGAAATATACGTAATATAGCACAATTGTAAGTAAAATTCGTCTTGTTAAATCCTAAATTCAATCATCTTTTTCTCATTTTCTATTATAAGTGATTAATATTGCGAACACACCTTCCTTGTTTTTTTTATGACCTTATTATTTCAATTTCTTAATTCATATTTAAAAGGAATATTATTATGGATGTCATAAAATAAAATTTTATCACTGAGCTTTCGAACTTTAGTATATTTTTAGGAACAATATAAAAAGATTAGCAAAATATATTTAAAAAATATGATTTGATAGCATGAATTTTAGCTTACAATCAGCTGATTTCTTGGAAGATAATCGGTTCAAATTACTTGTTAAAATATCGCTTGATGATATAGAAATTAGAAAAGGTTCTATGAATTTTCCATTTTCTTTTTTATTGCTGAATTATGGAAAATGCTAATTACTATTCATGCGGTAAAAAGTTTCCCTCATTACCCACAAAGATATAAGTAATTCGCAAATTTTTATGAAATTTATAATTTTTTCAGAAACTTTATCACTTCTACGATCAACCGAAGTTGAACTGCAAGACACCGTTGAAGACGAAAGTATTATCAACAAAATGGTCGAACTATCAAAATTACTTAAAACAGATTACCCCGTTGGTTTTTGGCGTTTTTAAACATAATGATTCTCCAATAAACTTAAAAAATGGAGAAAATTCAAGAAATCATTGGGAATATATATTTATGCATTTTAGTAAAAGTAAGTAATTAGTTAGAAATCATTGGGCTTGCTCCACTAGAATTTGTTAAAAATTTTAACTTATCGACAGAAGTTTGGACTTTTCAGTAGTTCGTTCGTTTGGAAGAAAGGAGTCAAATCCTCTCAACACGATAATCTGAATCAATCGTCCATCTTTATGCCTTTTATTTCATATTTGTTATGAGTTACCTTATAAAAAATCCCACTATTTACGGAACTGCTCAAAAGTTTTATTTTTTCAAAAATGTATTGTTTTTTTGGAAATAAGGACAACTCTCTCTTTTCGATATGAAATAACTCACAGTGCTCAAATGCCTAAGATGAGCCAAAATTCATTGTTTTTATGAATGTTCAGATTCATCTATTTTCATTTCTATTAATTTTTGGAATTTTATAATTCGTTTAGTATTTTTAGGATTTATCACTATTGCTTAGTAATATTCGAACTACTACAATGCAAAGAAATCGAGCCCTTCAAGAGCAACTTTTATCAGATCCACAGTTAACGACAGTTGAAATTGAAGTTACGACAATGTTAGATATTTTGCTGTCTTACTTAAATCCTCATTGATGCTATTATGATTAAATAATATTATAGCATGATAAGGTTTAGAAGTGGTGTCGAAAAATTAACTCTGCATTTTCCGAATGCAGATAAACGAGCAATATGGGAGAATGCTCTTATTGATGCTAAAAACATTCTCAGTTAGTTTTTTCAGCTCTTTATAAATCATTTATCATAAATTTGTTTGGATTAGGCGCAAACCATTATATTCGATTGCTGTCTCTTGATAGAGGTGAATCTGTAAATCTTTACTGAAAATGAAATTCGTGTGGTGCTGCATACCTTTTTTATTCTTTTTTTCCCAAAACTATTAGTTTTCTCTATCTATCTTTTGCTAAGTATCTAAATTTTATTTTGCCTTATTTTATTATTTTATTTTAAGGTTAGGGTCATCAAATAAATAAAGTCGTACAGGAAAATTTCGTAGTATTATTAGATCATATAACCACTATCGTTTTTTTACAACTATCCAGAAAATAATTCCTTTTTCCTTATAAGCTTGCGTTCTTGATTTGAAATAAGCTTCAAGGCTATTTTTTCACCATCAAAAGAATAAATTTTTTCCAACAAAATAATATTATAGAAATCTCAATAATCAGATGGTGGAAAGTTAGAATTATTAAAGTGGATAGAACTACAAATTCTGACCAAAATCTGGTCTTTTGGCAAGAATTTTTTGAAGCATATGCCTAGGAATATACTTTTCTTTTAGTTGTTACTGGCAATTTCAATGAAATTTGTTTTTGAAAGATTGCGATTGAGTTGTTCGTGATAAATGTCAGATGTTTGATCAGATTTGAGCAGCTCCATAATGGATTCCTTATCACATACAGTAGTATATCTTCTGCAATGAATGTCGGGCTTAACAATTTTTTTTGGTATTTCTTCTTATAACCACTGATCATTAGAATTATGGAAGATTTTTGAATCAGTTTCAGCCACAGAGTGCAGAAAATCTTATCAACTTTTGAAAGTCTACCAGTCTTTCTTTGGATACATTGCAAATTAGCATCAGTATTTCTAAATTTCGAAAATCGCTTTTGACGTTTCTTACAACCACTGCTTTCGATATTTCATTTATGTTACTCGTTATCACATTATTTTTTTGCCCTCAGTGAAATTCATAGAATATGCAGTGTAATAAATGCTCCTCAGATGGTGCTTCACTTTCCTTTACTGAACATTTCATGAATTTTTAGCCAGTTGAAGCAAATAATTTTTATAGTGTGTTATACAAACATTAGAAATCGTCTGCTCTTTTAAACAACCACTTCATTGAAAATTCGCTTCAGAAAAACGATATTTTTGATAAAAGCTATCATATTTCTGTGAAGTCTTCCATATTAAAATTTTTCAAAAATCTCTTTTCTAAACAATTTTGAAAGTCAACCTCAGTCAAGCATTCTTATAGGGGATTCTCTGGAACATGATCAAACACCAATACATTTGAAATCAATCATAACACATCGAGCTCGTTCTGGTCTTATTGTAAGATTATTTTTATAAATAATCGTAATTTTATATAAAAGAGAAAGAATAGCTGAGTGGGTAGTGTTCAAGCCAGTACTAGCCGGATTTTTTAAGTTTTTAGTTTCCGAAGTGCTGGTAATCCATCTTTTTTTCGCGAAATGACTCACTACAAGAGAAATGATGTGCTAACCACTTTTTTTTAAAAAAGTTTTCATCATTACTAGATAAATTGGTTCCACTGTCTTGTCGCATTGGACAAATATGCCAGAGAATCCCTAGGCGATAGAAATACAGGTGAGTCGCCAGCATCACTCGGATTTTTGGACAAGTCTATTCCTGCGGTAAATAAAACCTTAGCATCGGCGCTTCAAATTGAGCAATAACCCACTAAGCCAACCTGTCCCTATTGTATTAACCACTTAATTATATGAAATTAATTAATTAATATAGAAATAATTAATTATTTAATTATAGAAATAATTATAGAAATAATTATAGAAATAAATAATTATAGAAATAATTAATTAATATAGAAATTCATGACAAAGTTAGAAATGATATAATTATAGTTATGATATAATTATAATTATAGTTCTCAGCTGCATCACCAACAATTGGCCGAAATGCAGATGGTGCACCAAACGTTTGGGCTTGTACATCAGATAAATTTTCTGGCCAAATTGTGATCATTAATGTCAACGGCGAACCAACAATTGAAAGCAATACTAGTGTAGGGAATGCAACAATTGTAGCTATTTGTGCTGTCCCAGCTCCAAGGTTGGCTTTTTTCTGAATCTATTTTAGGTATATGTGACTATAGATAGGAATTTTCATGTTGCATTGTATTTTTTATGCATCTTATCTTTGTTTCAAGCTCGTTTATTTAATTCGGGCGCTAAATTTTGAAATTTAGAAAGAAACGACGGATTTCAGCAAAAAAAGTCGATAGCACAGAAGTTGAACAACCTGGACTAGAATTGGACAGGTAAATATGCTAAATATGCTGTTTTAATCCCCTAATTGATTGCTTATTATTTGTGGTTTATTTTTGCCTTTGCTGATTTTTACTACTGCCAAATGTATTGTTAAAAAAATGAAAAAAAATGTTTAGCGTCATCATTTCTGTTCAGACATGGCTGTTAGTATGATTATTATTTATAAATTTTTATGACGAAGCCACTTGGACATAGAAGTACATTTTTTACCTGGATTTTTAATGACAGGCCTGCTGTTGCCGAAAGCAAGCCAAATATGTTAGAAAAATTCAAGTATAATAAGCATAATTTACACATTTTAATTAATAAATGCAAAATTAATAAATATTCAAGTTAATATTAATAAATTAATAAATTAAATATACATTTACAGTTCCTCTTTATTAAATATATGATACTATAATTAAAAATAAAACATAAAAATTTAAATCATATGTACCTTTCACAAAATTCATCAAAATTCAATATTTAATCAGAAAATTTTTATTTTGGAATGATTTTTGTGTGAATTTTTAGCAGTTCATCTGATTCAGAACAAGATAGCGATTTTGAAGCCATAAGAAAAAATGTGCAATCAACTATTTGGATTGGTAATGACGATGGAGAGTAGGTTTTTTTTAAATATTTATTTCAAATAAGGTAGGAGTTAATCTTTCTTTCAAAAATTCAGGTGAAGGCAACTCAGCTATCGTACTTCTAATTCTCTGGCAAAATTTCTCCGCTCCGACAAGCCAGAGGAAGAAGCCTAACTAAAAAAGATGAGCACTCCTAGAAAAAGACTTTAATATTTGGTTGGCCTATGAGACATTGGTTCTTATCTTCCTTTTTTCTTCTTCTGCTAATAATACCATTTCCGATTTCGTTAGCTTCGTTGACTTAGTTTTTGGCTAATAGATACACAAAGACGCAGATTTGTCGCAAGCACATTTCGCTTTTGATGAGAGATTTACTCCTATCTAAGCTGAAGCAATATACCATTCTGGTCCTTTTTCTTCTTTTCATATAACGGTAAACATTACAGAATTTTTGTATTCAATTTTTTGGAAAACATTCGGTTAAAATCTCGAGAAAGAATGACTCGTCTAGCATTACCCGTCGACGATATTGTTTATTTGGATGAGAAGGTATTCGTATCTTCTTCATCGAGTTCGCATACACAACTTAATTATTTTCAAAGAGCAAAAGGTTTTTTATTTATTAAACTTCCAAATATTATATTTTTTAAATAATTTCGCAAAAAATTCTTGTAATATCTTTATTAAAAAACTTGACAAAATAAAAGAATCCATATTTGCATGTTTTCTAATTTCCTTATTCTAATAACACTCGGATAAATGTTTGCCATTTTTCATGACAAGATTTATTCCCATCAAGGATTCATTCCACGATACTTAAATTGGGGCAATTCACCACTCGATCTCCTACAACACCACAATAAATATTGCTTTATAACGCATTTGATTATGTTTAATCGCCCGACTTCTCCTGATCTTATTCTTTTCAGATGGAATTTGGGATCTCGAAAATCCCAAATTGGTTCGAATCGATTTACATATGCGCTTACGTCCAATGATTGTAGTTGTATCACGACTATGTGTCGCTTCTGGCAATTCAATTTATTTCATCAATCCAACAAATACTCAAATTGAGGTAGAATACTTATTCTTGATGAATGACTTCCAGAAAAATATAAGTTTACTCCTCCTTCATAGGGCGAAAATTTAAAGGATAAATTAGATTAAAATTAAATTAAAAATTTCAGAAAAGTTGTCAATTAAGTAGCCATGCAGCAGAAAGTGTTGGACATATGGCATCGCTCGGCTCGACAATATTCGTAGCAATGAATAAATCAGCAGTCATCAAAGTTGTTAACGCTTTTACGCTCGATATTATACTTGAATTTACAATTGCTAATGTCGTCAATAAAACGCTTTCATGTGTGTTCTGTTTCTAATTTTTGCATCTATATTTTGATTTGGTTCTTTTGGTTACAAAGAATGGGATCATCTCTTCAGATAATTTTATTCAGACCAACACTCTGATTTTCTTTTTAATGACGCATTTATTCCTTTGGAAATGATCCTATGATGACTTAGCTTTAATCGAAGCATTCATTTTGGTTAAAATGCTGACTTTATCCTTTGGACCAAAAGGCAGTAATTTTAACTAGATAAATTAATAAATTTAAAATTTAATAAATTAATAATTCATTAATTAATTTATTTACTAATTTAATTTAATAAATTAATTTAACAAATTTAAAATTAATATCAACATAAAAGTTAAAATAAATTTAAAATTTGTAGATTATGAAGATATAATCAGAAAACATAAAATGGGTTGCCTAAGGATATCAGCATTGCTTTCCTGCAAAAATCGTTTATGGATTGGCACTTCAGCTGGAATTATTCTCAGCACAATTGTCGGAAATATAAAAAACAATTGGACTCCATCCTTTCACGGTATTTCATATATTTATATATATTACTGGACCTATTAAGATTTAATAAATCAAACGCGAGACTCATTTGTTTTTGCGAAAAATAACAAGAAAATGTGCTTATAATCGTTTCAAACTAAAATTAGTCCACAGTATATAAAATGTAAAAAGGATTGGTGGCATAAAAATAAATTCACTTTTAAAGGATTTGATTTTATATAAAAATTATTAACTAGAAATATGAATAAATGAATTCAGTTATCTGGTCTCTTTAGAATCTTATTTACTAGTAAGGAAAATATTAAAACGAATGATGAAGATAGATGATCACATCAATTATATCACCATGAAGTTGTTCTCCTTTGACGGCAGCAAAAGACTATTAAAATTGAAATCCGCGATTTTTGGATCCATCTATATTGTAATTGCGTGACGAAAAACTTCCATTCATAATGGTCAGTAGCGCAAGCCAAACTAAACTAATAAGTGTTATTAGAAGATTACTACGAAATGCAGGTAAAGAAATAGTAATGTTCTATCGATGGTAAAAATTACTGGAATTGAGAATGGAGAAAACTCCAATAGATCAAATAAGAGAAAAAAATACCAAAGAAATAAATAAATACAATTTTAAAAAATTTAAGTATGTAAAGCTGGTCATATTGGTCCATGTAGATTTTTAACTGCTTTGTCTGCATCATCATCATCGATCATGTTAACAGATATGAGACGAAGACGAATGTCTTTAAATGCTCCGTCACTCCAACAACTTGACCAGGTTTTTTATTTTTTTATTCATAAATACTATTGCAAGGATGATCATCAAGATGATCGCAATTCAAAGACAAAAGATAAAACGCATCGGAACAGGAAGAACCTAACCTTTAAATTTTATCCATATGTAATCCATATCCTCATCCGCATGAAGTTCGTTTGAAGAAAAGAAGAATAAACACTCTTCTTGCTCTTTGCTATATATATTTTTTAAAAATGATCAATTTTAGATTTACATAATTAGTGGCGGTGAAGGATTTGACAACATAAATACAGAAATTAGTGAAGAAAAAACAGGAATCGACGATTCAGTTAATCATTTATTATTTTGGATTGTCTGAATTTCATCTTTTTTATAGAATTTGTGTTTGTCTGTAAAAACAGTGGAATTATGTAAATTATTCTAATTAAATTAAAGGAGTTAACAAAATTTTGTGTCCAAATAAAACAAGTCAAATCGTTCATAACACGATCGCTGATAATCTGAAAAGGACAGCATAGTATTCTTTGCCGTTTAAATGGTATCTATCACTAATTAAAAATAATGAAAATTAAACCAGAATATATTTCCGTTAATGACATGAAAGAAAAAGCGATTACAATGGAAAAACTTATTGAATAAAACCAATGAAATAATAAAATTAAAAAGTCTAAGGCAAAATTTGAAAGCAGCTAAGTTAAAAAATAATAGAACGATATACAGAATGTCATAATATGTTGAACCTGTTGTACCCCTTTTATGCGTTAAATTTCATTGTACTTTTTTGTCAACTTACTCAACACTCTTTAAACCTTCCTGCTGTAATGCTGTGACTCTTCAATCCCCCTCTTCCAGTCCCAGATCTCTTCACTGCTAATTTCTTCATTTCCTATAATGCCTCAGTATCTCTTAAATTTCCTTATTTCTCTTTAGCAAATTGTCAGATCCCCTCTACTTTGCTATTAAATAATAATACTCTTATAAATTCTTTTACATTTTGAGTTCCTTAAATCTAATCCTATTATGTTTAGCACCACGTCAAAGTTCGTGCTGAACTGTAAAGTCGCAAAAGAGGATATCAGGGGAGCGTAATAGAAACCTTAAGCTAGAATAGCGAGGTTTCCACAACTATGGAAATTCAGAATTCGAAAGGATGTTAAGAAAAATCATCTGGAAGGAAAGGTTTAATAGTAATAAAAAAGTAACAAAGTTTAGGGATAACAAAGTTTTAAATGAAATGTTTAAAACTTAATTTAATTAAGAAAAAGTAATCGACAAAATTATGCGATAATTTTTATTAAAAATTCATCGGATTGAAACAAAAAGGTGGCTCATCCGTTTCACAGGATTTTTTTATTCTAATAATTTTTTGAATTCCAATAATTTGACTATATTGTAAAGCTATATTATAAAAATTATTATTAAAGTGGGTATGATAATATATTTATTTCGTTTCTCTTCCTCCAGATGAGACATTTGAGAATAACTTACTAAATTCTGATTCTGATAAATAATGGTAATAACATACTTCTGTCGCGAATCGCGAATAAAAAATAATAAATTCCTCAAATAATTGCTGTGAGTCTTGCTAATTATAAATTCTTTCGATAATTTTTTCATGTGTTTTTGTTGATATCGTGATTTAGCAGCATTCCATTTCCCTTTTTTATAGCCAAAAAAAACTAATGTAGCATGAGAAATATTTTATTTTGTAATGTATCTCGTTCTTATTATTGCAATAATCAGATAATTGTAGTTTTTTATGTATATAATTGATTAATCATTCGTTGCATGACATTCCCATGAAATTACCATATATAAACATGTAAAATCGGCTCTTCATATAAATTGTCACGAAATGCGATCTTTTTATTATTTTAAATTTATTATTTCAAAATAGTGACCCTGACCCGACAAATAGAGCCTTTCATTTATTAATTAATTCC